ACTGTAACTGTCAATTAGAGCTGGCTAAGAAGAACAAAATTATTAACAGAGATCCACGTAAGTGTTTAATACATTGATTTGCTTTAACATTTGTTAAGCAGCTAATCCTCACCAGCTTTAGAGGCATAATTCACACACGTCATCTTCTGATTTAGTCAATCCAATAGACTGCATTTCAATGTCATTTTAAAGAGGCAGCAATATACAGCAAGTGTACAGATGTTGAGTTAGCCATTTGGGCAGGCACGAACTATAGAGAAAAATAGGACATCTAGAGGGAGATTTTTTTCAAGAGACAACAGGTGCTATTTTAGGTGCAAATGGCTGAATGTTGACACATTACACTGGTTTCTATGTGGATTGGTTGTTAAAGGAACACTATAGCGTAAGGATCACAAACATGTATTTCTAATGCTATAGAACCCCAGTCACCTAAACGGTGATTAGGGCCCCGTTCCGCGGTGAATAAATGGTTAACCATTTATTTGCTTGCCTTAATCCAGCGCCGGGCTTCCTCGGCACTGGTGACCTCTCCTCCTCCATCGATGTCAGCTCCCGAGTGGAGCCAAATGCACATGCGCAGCCAGAGGCACGCGCATTCAAACCCGCCCATAGGAAAACATTACTCAATGCTTTCCTATTGGGAATCTTTTGACGCTGGAGGTCCTCAGTGCCACTTTCTCAACCATATTAATCAGGATTTTATACTTTCACATGATCAATTTTTATTCTGTCCATACTTGGGTGGGTTAAGGTTTGAAAACGCTCAGTATCAGACAAACTTCCTGATTTGGAATTCTTACTGCAGTTCTGTTATACAAAATGTTCTTTACATAAGACAGTAAAAAACAAACAAAAAAAAAACGGCTCAATATTTTTCATCTAACGAGCTGTAATAAATTTAGCGGAAACCTTCACCTCCCACACTTGAAGATAACGGATCCAAGGTTACTCAGTAAACTGTAAATTGACAGGAATTTACCAGTGAATTTCAAACTTAAGGCCAAAATGGTCAAATTGGAGAAATTCTACAGCAGTTATGGCTTGAACTTTGAAATTCCCTGGTTACGTCACAATTTCCTGTTTAGTAAGTGACCCTTGTTTGATATGTCTGAATTGCATCACACATTTAGTTACACTGATTCTTCTTGCAGCAACCAATATAAAAACAAAGTTAGGCGGCTTAGCACCTATGTACCCATATAATGTCATTAAGACGACACATCTCATCTATCAAGTAATCTCTTAATGAATGGTCCTGGGTTTAAAAATTAGGATGAGTGTACCACATACTCCCAGATGTGAAATGGTGACTAACCTAAAGTGACATTCTGGTCACCATAACAACTTAATTTAGATAAAGTTTTTATAATGCCAGGAGCCCACCGAACACACTCTTACCTTTAGGGTGTTAAACTGTTCCTAAACGGTTTAACAACGATGGTTGCCTCCAGCACCTATCTCCAGGTCCCCCAGGGGGAAGCCGGCTTCTGAATCTGAGTTCTAAGAAGCGTGGAGGGCCACGGGGCAGGGGCATGAATGGGGAGCTACTGAATTGCTTAGAGCATGACCGCTCTAGCCAATCTGCAGCACCACTGCCCGGCGACACCCTGCGCTTCCAGTAATGCAGATTCAGAAGTCAGTTTCCACGTGGGGAACTGGAGATCAATGCAGGAAGCAACCAAAATTTTGGGTCGGACTGTACACCCTTAAAGGACCACTCTAGGCACCCAGACAACTTCAGCTTAATGAAGTGGTCTGGGTGCCAGGTCCTTCTAGGGTTAACCCATTTTTTTTATAAACATAGCAGTTTCTGATAAACTGCTATGTTTATTAATGGGTTAAGCCTTCCCCCTAATCCTCTAGTGGCTGTCTCATTGACAGCCGCTAGAGGCGCTTGCGTGCTTCTCACTGTGATTTTCACAGTGAGAGCACGCAAGCGTCCATAGGAAAGCATTGTAAATGCTTTCCTATGCGACGGGCTGAATGCGCGCGCAGCTCTTTCCGCGCGTGCGCATTCAGCCCAGGAGGAGGAACGGAGGAGGAGAGAAGGAGGAGAGCTCACCGCCCAGCGCTGGAAAAAGGTAAATTTTTACCCCTTTCCCCCTTCCAGAGCCGGAGGGGAGGGGGACCCTGAGGGTGGGGGCACCCTCAGGGCACTATAGTGCCAGGAAAACGAGTATGTTTTCCTGGCACTTTAGTGGTCCTTTAAGGTAACAGAGTGACTGGGCAGCACCTGGCACCATAAAGGAGTTTCCACTAAGGCAGGGGTGGGGAACCTTTGGCCCTCCAGGGAAAGCGAAAGGGAAAGGAAGACTTGCCATTAAGTACTGAAAAAAAATCTAAATATTCATAGCAATTCTTTAACCTATTAAGAGGAGGGTCATAATGAATTCAACTAATTTAGCTAGGATAGGCAACCTTCAGCACTCCAGATGTTGTGGACTACATCCCCCATAATGCTCTTACACACAAAATGCTGGCAAAGCATCATGGAAGGTGTAGTCCAAAACATCTGGAGTGCATAAAGTTGGCAAAGCATAAGGAGATATATAGTTCGATACATCTGGAGTGCCAAAGGTTACCTACCGCAGGTATATGGCTTTTGCGGTCTCTCAGTACCTCCTCCAGACCACCCTATTTTACCCCTCTATTATTCCGACTTATCCCTTTGTTTAGCTCTCATTGCAGAATCCAAATACAACTCAGAGGACAGGGGGGTTGCATTTCTTGGAAGGCGACATTTCCATGTGGCGTGTGGTAGCAGCCAAAAGGTGCACATGAACTGGTCCCCCTCAAGCGAACTTCATCCACCAGTACTCACATGTGGAGAATACAATACTGAAGCCTCTGGAGTCTATGGGAATCTCTCCAGACCAGCTCTCACAATCTGTGAGAAGATGTACCATACCCAATGCCAGGGCTACCAATGTCTGTGGGAACTGACAAAACTGGACAGTTAAAATTCTGCCTTCTGTCAAGTTGGAACTTGACCACAACACAAAAAAGTCCCAACTTGACCTATTTCATCTTCTGGCCGCTCTGCAATTTCTATCTTTATTAAATATTCAAAAGCAATATCACCATGGCAGAATCACTTTAACACTTGTTATAGCTTGACTCTTATTTGCCATTCGAGAACTGAGCAATACATTTGCACTATATAAACAACAACAAAATTGTGCAGGGGAAGAAATATGGAGCAGGATATATAGGTGAACATTTAACCCCTTAAGGACCAAACTTCAGGAATAAAAGGGAATCATGACATGTCACACGTCATGTGTCCTTAAGGGGTTAAAAAGAGCATAGCATGCCAAATAAAACCGGTAAACTGCGTGGAAAGATTAAATGCCGTATATACTCGTCTATAAGTCGAATTAAGTTTTTTGACCAACAATTGTGAAATATGGTACGTGTTCCCTTATTTGTGCCTTATTTCGTCTGATATCCCTCTGCATTCCAATGGAATGGTTCCTCTTCTGTTCGGTTACCGAACAGACTTTGTGGTCCCCCTTGTTAACACCTCGTAATCACCTACCACTTTTGGCTGTTAACCACAAACATTGCATTGGGTGGCCACCAATCGTATATACGAACGCACGTGCTCAAACAAACTTGTCTCCCGAACACAAGCAGCGGTACATGGTCGTTGATTCCATGGATCTCTGAGTCGGCAACACAAGCCCGCGAACCCCGCTGAAACTTTTACTCCTACCCGTTCGACTTCCCGACCAGCTAGGAGAATGACGTTCGTGAGTCGACATTGCCCCGCATTCAAAGTACAAAACTAGCATTGCCCAGTAGTTATGTCGACTCAGCATTTTAAATGAAGTTTAGGACTAAACTTTCCCGACTTATATACGAGTTTATTCTGTAAATATACCCACATATAATGCTTTATTATACGGTGTATGTGTTACTTCAGCTTTGAAGACTTTAACATGCAAAAAATGCCTATAAAAACCTCTTAATGAAACCAAGCCCAAACTAAGATCTGTGCAAGGAATCAGAATATGAACATTCCTTATCTTCAAGGGATAATAATAATCGTTTTCAGATGAATAAATTAAAAACAAAAGAAATACAATGAGCTCTATAAAAATAACACACAAGCACAGGGATAAACTGTACTTATATGTACAAAGTATCAGAGCTAATATACTAGACCTTTCAGAGATAAATATAAGGCAGCACACCTCTCCCTTCCTTCGCAGGAACTGCTCACGCAATAAAAGATTTTCAAGAACAGTCTAAAACCCTCCAAGAACAATTCACCAGCAAAAATTATTCACCAGAAAACCTGAATAAAATACTAAATACTGTAAAACAAAAAAAACAGGAAGAATCTTTTAGAATATAAAACAATGGATAAAAAAGGATCCACCCTCTTTGCCTGTCATTTTTAACCAGATTTTTAAGCCAGATATTGAAAAAAATAAATAAATCAAGAAACACTGCCACATCTTAAAAAAGGATGCAATATTGAACGCTCATCCCAGACAAACCCAGCGTGATTTTTAGAGGAACTCCTAATTTTAGAACGATTCTTACCAAAAACTATACAAAAGATCCCACTACCACTAAGTCATCGTTTTTAACCAAATCTAAAAATTTTTTTTTAGTTTTTTTTTTTTTTTTAAATATAACAGATGCATAGTTTGCAGAACAATGGACCCACAAAGCAAGTCAAAAAACACTCACTTTACTGCTAATAATACTAAACACATCATATCCCATAAAAGACCTAATACGTTGTAACATAAACAATGTATTTGTATGTAGGAATGACCACTAGATGCCTAAAAATTAGACGGGCAGAGCACGGTCAGAACATCAAAGGTTACCCTAACCACTCAGTCTCAAACATGATAAAAACCCTAAACATCTAAAATGTATTGGAATTCAAAAATGTAAAATATCGTGGAGGGGAGGTGATTTAAAAAAAAAAATTTTTAAATAAAAATTTGGGGTTAGAAAGAAATGTATTGGGTGTTCCTGATTAAAACACTTGCCCCTGAAGGTTTAAATGTTGATTTTGATCTTTTTAACCTTTTTATAAATTTGCATATTCTGTTTTGTTTATAATGTGATACAAGTATACAAGTATGTTATTTTATTCTTACCCTATATTTACATATGATCTTCTAAATCTTCATATATATTTTTCTGTGACATTTGCAATTTACTGTGACCTTTTCATAATTTTCTACCATCATACGGTATTTTAAAATGTATGCTTTTAAAAAAAAAAAAAAACCCTGGTCGGAATAACCATATTTGCACTGGCTACTTGTCACATGTTTTATTAATTCATTCCCTCCTTCCAATTTCTTTCATTGCCCTCCCTAAAATGGCTGAAACACGTTCTATAATAAAGTTAGAAAAAAAAAAAAAAAAGAAGTGGTGCCAAAAATCAAGTAATCTGAGGCCTATATAAAGCCAGTGTTGTCAGGCACATGTTTTTATCCACTTGAGAAAGCCCTAAGGGGAGAAACGCATTGTGGTATTTTGTCCACTTTCAACTTGTGAGTCAACCATTTTACTCTTATTTATTTTTACCTTGCACCAAAGTTTATACTGTTCCAGTGAGAATTTGACTCCATAGAATCCTTGGTGGGTATTATACCACTCAAACTTTATTCATTGAGCAGTCTGCCTGCTCAATAAAATGTGAGTAACCACTTGGTATTTTATTATTTCACCTCTGGTTTTTATACAATAAGCACTATTATTGTTTTTATATTTCATATGGTCCTTATACCAACAAGATGTCCACCTACTACAAAACTTCACGTATCCCATAAGTGGGGATTGTACCACTGTATGCCATCCACACTAGAGCTAGTCTTATAGCTCTGGAAAACGTGAGTAGGACCATATAGACCTCTTACAAAATAGTACTTAGTACCTGTTGGGATATACTGCACCATTATTTGCTGTCTTTATTTTTTTCATATGGATCTCACGAATATCCTATGCCCATACCGTACGGAGGAATACTTCCCTGACAAGATTGTGATTGACTTCGTATACAGGGTTTTATTTGGACTTTTTGCTCTATTTAATCAGGCATAGACTCTTTTGGACTCCTGATTATTATTCATTATCTATATTTCAAACTCTTTTTTTTATTTTGTATGTATTTTCTCTTATGTAGTGTCTTGTATATTTTATAATCAGTTTTTCTTCACCTGTGGCACCGCCTCCCGTTCCACATTTTTTTTTGCTTTATAAACTGTACTTAGTAGTAAATATAACAAATATTAAAACAATTCCTGGTGTTTGGTTTTTTTATTTGGTTTTTAACTTTAGAATATTAAAATTCATTTTAATTCAGAATACATGAGATACACACCCTACCTGATGTACAAATGGTAAACTGGGTATTATGGGAAAATTATATAACTCAAAAGGCTCGGGGGGCATCTTATGCCTCAAGACTAAGTGCCAAATGTTTTCTTGAGATCTCAAGAATTTGGAGACACAATTTTCTAAAAGCGTATGGGTCTTCATTTTGTACTTTTTATATTGAGGTTTTAGAGTTTTAAGTTCACACTTAAGTAAATTCAACTTGTAGGGTCAAGACACACTCACTCCCTCTCTCTTATGCCGAATAATCAAAATTAAATGTATAAGATATGTATATCGCAGAATATTGACAAAATATGCAGTCTTGCAACTGATAGTTTCATCGCACAGAATTATTACATTTCTTAACGCTGCATAATACGGATTAAACACTTGGGGGTCTTTTCCCTGCAGCCACCTATTTTTCAGTACACTTGTTTTAATATTGTTGGATAAGCTTTTCAAAATTGTTTAATATTTTTGGATAAACTACAAATTTTAAATATTTTCACAATAAATCATTTTGAAAGCTTATCCAACAATATTAAATGACTTGGAAAACGGATTAAACACCTGGGGATCTTTTCCCTGGAGCCACCCATTTTTCAGTACACTTATTGCCTTCATCTCTGCAGTGAATAGGGACCAAAGCCGGTTAGAGAGGACAGCAAGCTGGCTTGCCAGGTTCATTCCAGTGACCTCTGGATAATCATCACTGGGTTAAACCCATGCCTTCAACAAGTTCGGCACTTACAAGGTTAAACTCCTCTCCTCTGTCCTCTAGTTATGACCCACCTTTAGGACAGCACTTACAGTGTTAACCCAGGCCACCTTCTACATTTTTTTTTTTTACAGTTTATATCAATGTAAATGCATTTTTTTTTCCAACACACATTTATTATCTACACAAACACATCTTACAAGCGTGTATTTTAGTAGATTTATATTGTGTGTTACATGTGACGAAATTTCATAGGAGTACTTAAAAGAACTAAAACCCCACTAACTTTCTTCTATGGATATGTAATTTGTCAGGTCACTGTGCTACACAATATTTGCAACAATGATCTGCCGGTTAAAATTACAATTTATATTATATGCACACACATTTGTTTCCGCTCTAGGATACCTATATATAAAGTAGAGGTTGCAATGTGTTTTAAATGTCTGCTGGTAGAGATTCCAATATCTTATCTCCCTACATGAAGTCATGACAGTATTATCCCTGTGAGATCTTGCTCACTGTGTGGAAACAAATCCCGTGTTAACAGACATGTTCTGTTGCTTGCCATCTTACGCTGTTCTGAGGGGCGCTGTCAAGACATTCACTGCAAAGACTTTATTTGCCTTTTGTTCTGTCTACAACAGAACTATACTAGAGAAAAAAAAAAAAAAACGTGTAGTTACAGCTGGGTTAAGACAAAATAAAAAAAGGTTTATATAACGGTCACATTTTAATATTGTTGGATAAGCTTTTCAAAATTGTTTAATATTTTTGGATAAACTACAAATTTTAAATATTTTCATAATAAATCATTTTGAAAGCTTATCCAACAATATTAAATGACTTAAAAAACGGATTAAACACCTGGGGATCTTTTCCCCGGAGCCACCCATTTTTCAGTACACTTATTGCCTTTGTCTATGCAGTGAATAGGGACCAAATCCGGTTAGAGAGGACAGGTTAGAGATAGTAATAAATCTATATGATAGCATGAAATGGGAGATGAACCTGCCGTTGGTATATAGATCTGATTTTTATATGGGATGGCCCCGTATTCTCCTTGGAGATGTTTTTCAGTAAAGTAAATCAGAATGACTTGAGTATAACATTAACCAGCCAGTTCAGTAATACGGATATCAGTTTTTTAGATCTGGAGGTGTATATAGAGAACAATGAAATGATTAAATTTTTATTTTATTTTTTTTAAAGTTGATGCCAACAATTCTGTCCTATATAACAGTGGGCATTACACCCTATGGTTGAGCACTATTCCCAAAGTGCAGTTTTTAAAGAATCAGACGGAACTGTACCAGTACTCTATGAGGAACAAGTTGGAATTATTGAGGAGAAATTTAAACATAAAGAGTACCCTAATGAGTTGGTACTCAGAGCCAAGGAAGAAGTACCGTCAAGATGATTTAGGCATAATGAAAAAACACTGACAAATGATGGTACGGCAGCACCATTCGTTTTTGACTTTAATGAAAATTCTAAAGAAATTAAGTATATTTTTTAACATAGGCATCCACTTAAAAAAAGACAGAATTAAATACTATATTACCAGATAGCCCTTTTATTACTTTTAGGGGGGCACCCAATTTTAAAAGTATTTTAACCCATATTCATCCTAAAGAAGATTCCAGAGAAAACCATAATGGTATTTTTTTTTTTAACAGAAAGGAAGGGTTTCTACTCATGCAATAAGTGCAGTGGCTGCAAATGCAGTTACATTAAATGGGATGAAGAAATTCAGAACTAAATACAAGGATGAGGAATACCATGTAACTGATTGAATTACATGTTTCATTAGAAACCCAATTAATTTATTAATCTGTCTGTCCGTGATGGCTCCAGTATGTGGGGAGGACTACACAAAATATGCGCCCACTACACAAAAGAATAGCAGAGCATGTCAATAATATAAGGAAGGGATTTGAGCAGCACAGTGTGTCAGCACACTTCAAGAAATACCATAACATGTAACAACTTAATGAGCACTGCATCACATATAGATGGCACATTCTAACACTGAACCACCACTAGACAAAATGACCCAGCTCGGGTCTCGGCCCTTGCTCTGTTATATGACAAGACAATAAGTGTTTAATAGCACGCTGAATATATGGGCTGCTACCCTCCCCTCCCTCCCTACACCCCATTTTAAGTTTTATCAAGGCAATATATCCTGGGCACACTTTATAACAGTGAACAAACGCAAATAGCCTGAGCAGTCTCTTTACCTGCTCAACGTTTGTGAGTGCTATAACATCTCTCTCTACATACTATTGTGTTTGCAATATTACACTATCTGCCTTTTATGTTTTTCTACATGTGGAAAAATCAACTCTCTGTTAAAAGTGTGAGTTTTATACTAAATTTTTTGGCACATTGATTTTTTTCCACATCCCCATTGGTTTTAAACAGAGTATAACGTATAAATATTGCACTTTTAAGATGTGAAGCACTTTAATGAGGTTTGTTGCAAAAATATGTACACATGTTTTAAGTGTGTTTGCACAAATTCTGTACAAATATTGTTTCTTATCACAAGGAATCACAGTTTTACCGTGAGCATAAGCACTGTATTGAGAAATTGTACATTGCCGGGGTTGACTGCAATACACAAGAGTTTGTGAGCACAATCTTAAAGGCACAGCACACTTTATATTTGTCTTTAGTAAGAAATCTAGCCAAATGTATAAGAATATAGATATCTCAAATCTGTCTCTACCTATACAAAAACACACACACCCACCCTTTTTTTCTTCCTTGAAAGACCCCCTCTGGCACAAACTCAAAAAAGCATGTTTCTACAAGTATCCCAGAATTCTCCGCTTGATATGCAAATGAGCACAGACCGACTGTGTTTCAAACTTCACTCTGAATTTCTGAAGGTACCCTTAGCATGGGTTCTAATTATTTTATTTTTTATTTTATTTTATTTATTTTTTTAAAACCCCCCCAAAAAAACAACAACCCTGTAGGATCAAGAGCAACACTCAGGAAGCATCAACTTAGAGGACAGCTCAAAGGCCTAGTTTAAAGGAAACTATAGTGCCAGGAGCTGTAGCTTCACCTTCTGTCAAGGCCCCCCTCACGTGGTGCAGAAAAGGTTAATAAACCCCTTATATCACGTACTTTATTCACGCACCAATGTCCCTGGCTCAGCTCTGCCCACATTCCTCCCCCGCCACCAGTGAGGGAGACGTAATGCGCATGCGTGGCAATGGTCACGCTCGTATTAGAATCTCTTCATAGGAAAGCATTATTCAATGCTTTCCTATGGAGCTTCTGGCAACGCTGGAGGTCCTGATGCATAGCGTGAGGATCCCCAGGGTCGTTTAGATGAGCAAAAAGTCGTCTAATAACCCGGAAGTCCCTCTAGTGCAGTGATGGCAAACCTTTTTGAGCCAGAGTGCCCAAACCGCAATAAATGTCAACTTTTTTCCCCTCAAAGTGCCAACACGGCAATTAAACCGAATATGGAGGTTTAAGTTTAGAAAAAAAAAAAACTCGTACAGTTGTCTGAACGAATTAACATCTTTTGTTTTAAAAGAAGAACACAACAACAGAAAGTACAATGATACAAATGATAAATAATTATATAAATTATAGATACAATTAAACTTATATTAGGTTCTCAAATGCAGTACATACATACAATACATAAACACAGTCCGCTGCATACACGCACACACAGTGCGCTGAATACACACACACAGTCTACTGAATAAGCACACTGCATTGAGGGGTGCAGTGTGTACGAATGCGGAGTGTGCGTTGAGTTCTGTGTGTGTGTGTGTCTGAGGGGTGCTGTGTGTGTGAAGGGGTGGTAAAGATACATATAGAAAAAAATAATCTTTATTCCCCTTCTTTTTACCTTTGGTAAGACAGCCACTAGAGGAAGACGTAACACTGCAACAATTACATGCTCAGGGTTAAGGGTGATGGGAGTTGGCACCCAGACCACTTCAATGGGCTGAAGTGGTCTGGGTGCCTATAGTGTCCCTTTAAGTCAGACTTAGTTGGACGAGTAAGTGGGTGAAGCATACCTCTATATCCTAATCTAATTTCCCTAGTGTTTGCAGATGCAAACTTGATTCCTGTTCCAACCACTGCCAGTGAAGGATATTTATTTAGAAAATATATTACTAGGCACTCTTATCTATGTTCCTCAAATGGGACTTTCTGAGCACTTAATGGACCACTCCACACCCCAAAAGCACTTCATATTTTAAGATATACCCCCAATGAATACATGCGATTTTTTTTTGTTTTTATATTTGCCAATTTGGGCAGTGGAGTGTTCCTTTCAGTGTGCAATTTGGGATCTTGTTACATCTATGTACTTCACTAATATTATGACCAAGATGGAACTGGAGTCCCCTCAGGCACAGGATGGTCCTCAGCAACTACATAGCCGTGTCCTAGACGTCTTTCACCAACTCTGCTCCATGTGGCGGCACAGATTGCAAAACCATCAGAGTGCAATAATCCAGACATTCCCTCGGCTGAAGCTGGTGGGGAGTCAGGGCCTGTCTTTCAGACAGTGGACTTGTCTTACTCCCCTGAAATTGAACAAGGATTCAAATGGGAGCCTCATTAGGGTTGAAACCACAAACCCTTTGTTACTCGGCAGGAGACTAGCTGTTCAGGATCACTCTCCCTGAAACCACAGATATTTCCCCCCAAAAAATCAAATCAATACCAAAACTTCCACCATTCACTGGCGCAGTATCATCCCTTTTACCACAATCGAGTCAATGGAGAGGCTAGACTGTACGGCACGATAACCATATCAGGGTTATTGTCATATAGATATTTGTCTATTCTGCTTTTAACTTGTTTCATAATCTTTTACCGTTATTTGCACATGAGTAAGCTTTCATGAAATAACCAGCAAAGTCCTTCTTGTAAGCATTTTATAACTGTCTAAAATAGAGTAGTATATGGTTATGCTAGCCTTCTTCTTTCAGTTACGTTTTGAGCATTGTGATTTTTAAAACCTTACCACTGCTGAGTAATATAATTTTTTTTTTATATGGTGCACAAATATCGGCATATGTATCACACTTAATCTGATGACTCATTTTTAATGAAGTCTTCTTCTATTTTTAAAATGCCACTGCACTGCAAAAAACCAAACCAAAAAAAAGATGCCAGCTGTGAACTGTACAGTTTCAAACTTGTGAGAATTATTAACATGGTGCCATTTCTGGTCTGGGAGTCTATAGTCTCTCTGAGAGTGTATAGCCAAGTTCCAAAAAATTGTGGTGAGGCCAACCACCATAAAACTCCCTACTGTGTAAATAAGAAGATTAGTGTTACACATCACCTGCATATCTAACATTAGACTTTGGAAAGTGCCCACAGAAACCATGTTGCCACAACTATCCCAGTTCCCAGCTTGACGCGCAACACAACGACTGTCAGCATTCATTTACACGTCAATCTGGAACTCTGCGATTGTTGTGGAAACATGATTTCTCAAGTTTCTGTGCCCAGGGAGGACTTTCCAAAGTTCAGTTTAAGAAATGCAGGTGATGTACAAATGTACAATATATACACACACCGTTTATAGTCTACACCTTGGACCACGCTGCGTTAAAAGTACAGCTACAATTTATCGACCAGAACATGTAACCTCTACACTGCACTTGCCAAACTTTTAGCATTTGCATACATAAGTAGGCATTCTATTTTGAATACAGAATCTTACAAAACCTCTGCTGTGTTGGTGTTTATGACAAACTGCAGCTACACCAATTAGTGAGATGTGTGCGCTTCCATCAGTTTGGTATGCTGTTTGAGAGTTAAACTTCCCAGATAGACCCAAAGGCATCCGTTAAGACAAGGGATTGGGTGATTCACCCGGTTCAGTAGCTTTTTTAGGTTTTTCAAACGATAATGGCTCATTAGAGGAATCTCTCCATATGTTCTATACAATTTATGTCTGTTCACGCGAAGAACAGATTAAATGTCAATATGCATTGGCACAAAGTAAACCATATAACATTTCGCAGTCTTGGGTAAAAGAGCAGTTTTAAATTAAACAGAGACTGCAGGGTAGCTGTACTATTTAAGTATTAAATGAAAGGATTGTGCTTCAAATCCCCTTAAGTTTGATCGGGTTGGAGATGGCGGCACAGGTAAAAATGCTTGTGAAGTGTCACTTGAATGGAGTACTGGAAAAGAGATATATAAAAACGCACTAAGGGGTTTACTCCTTAGTCTCTTAATTGTGGTGAATTGAAATCCTAATTGCAAAATAAGTTAGGTTACAGTAGTTTGAGCAGTTTGGCAAAAAAAAAAAAAAAAACAGGGCTCTCAACAGCACCCTGAGACGTCACCTATTCAGCTGATCAGTATTCACATTGATTATAGAAGGGCTCAAAATTGACCTGTGCTACCAGCCAAGCCAAAAACGTAATTGCCACAGCAAAGCTCCTCCGATTAAGTGATGTGTCAGTATTAAAATGTGACCTCTGCTTGAAAAAAAAAAAAAAAAGTTAACCACAGAGAAGTTAGGGGATAAATACATTATTAATGGTGCTATGATTAACGTGTATCTGCCTGTGTCCGTGCACAGCGACATATATTAGGAGGAGAGAGAACTTAATTGTGATCGGATTCCCCTATAAAGCGATCAGTCTGTCTGTGACATATGCAGGCAGAGTATTGCTCTATTTGAAGTAGTCCTTGGATTAGGGCTGGTGGCTCACCAGCAGGTTTTTATATTCCGTACAGAACGTCAAACTGCTATTTTTTTGTGCAGTGCAATTCCTCATGGCCGCAGATATCATCTATGCAGCCAGTATGAATATGCTTTGAAGCATTAGTAATGATTTTAACAGGCCCTAGTTTGGAGTGAGAAGTATGTAAGCAGGAAACAGCCACTAAGGAAAGCAAACATTAAAAAAAAAAATAAATCAAGAGAATATGGTGAATGGACAACAGTTCAAATAATGCGGGTGCCGGACTACAGAACCGTGGGGTGAGTGATGCGAGGCACGCAGAGAGGTGACTTCACTTCATGTCCCTTTCTACATCAACTTGAGACTTCTACACCACTATACATCTTCTTATCCCCTTCTCTTTTTCCTGCGTCACATTCTCCTCTTCACCTTGACTTATTACAACTTCTTCATCCTTATCCCTCTTTGATAGGGATGCCACCATACCATAGAATTAGAAAAAGACATAGGCACCCCTGGATCACATGCATGTGAGCGGAGGGAGACGTGGCTATAATAAAAGGTGCATTCCGACCCAAAGGCTATAAAATTTTACTCTGGTATCCTCAGCCTCAAGCACCCACTATAGAGGGTTGGGTCATTAATCACGTTGTAGACACCGAACCCACTGATCCTAAATAAGGGCGGGGGGTGGCTGATTTAAGATATATGTGAATCCTAAGAGGAGCTAGCCAAACGGGGGAAACCCCCTGCTCAAAATGTTGCAGCTCACAGCTGATGCTTACGCAGCTAGAGGCAATTTCAATTGTATTATGATCGGCATGGTTATGCTGACGATTTACGCTTTAAATGAAACACTATGTTTAACAACAGACCCTATTCGAAAATATATGTGAAATGCTGATACACCTTTTCGGAGTCTGCGTGCTCCTCTTACTCGATTTTTTTTTTTTTTAATTTTTTTTTAAATTGCAATTTTTGTAATCGCAATTTACAAAAAAAATTTTTTAAAATAACTTGGGGAAAGCAAAAAAAACAAAAAAAAAAAAAAGTGTGAGGCTCTCTTTAAAGCAAAAATAGTTTGAAGGTAGACTACATAATCACAACATTTTAGGAAGATGGGAATACAACCATTAGAAAACCACACTTCTCAGCTCCCACAAGGGCATTCTCTACCTTGCACTTTACATTTGGAACACAAAATAGCTCTGATGCAAGAGTAAATAATAATTATATAGACAAGCAGTTTATTGGAAGGGAGGGTGCACTTGAACGGTATATACTCCATATGGGGATGCTTCTAACTGGTGTAAAACCAGATAAAGATCAGCAACGTTTAAACCAGTTGCTGATCATTGATGCACTATGTGCACCAAATAAAAGCAATCTCAATTATACTTAAGGAGCAGCAGACCCACTTCTGTTGGGTTTGCACAAGTAAATACAAGGCAGTCAATGCAAAAGGCTTCACAGAATAAAAACATTAAATACTTCAGGGTCTTCACGGATTGCCTCTTGCCAATATTATTTTTCAAGATGTAACAAACTGCACAAGAGTTGAAGGTCATAAACTTCTACTTGAGGTCATCTCACTGTCATTCAGCAAATGGAAACGCATGAACTATTGCCTCAAGAATAAATTATGGAATGCAGTGACCTCGGACAAGTTGGTTTCACAATGCCAACAGTTTATTTCCTGGTATATTAAGAGCTTTAAAGACCTGGTATATTAAGAGCTGCTAGACCAGCATTTTCCAATTGGGGTTCCGCCAAAAGTTTAAAAAAATAAAACTGACGCGGACGACAAGAGAGCAGCGATCTCCCTGCTCAACTCCCTTGCGCGCACAGCAGTGATGCTGGAGCCGGAATATGACGTCACTTCGGCTCCGGCATCACTAAGAGGCGCGCAAGGGAGCTGAACAGGGAGATCACTGCTCCCTCACCGCCCGCACGCCATCCGCTCAGCAGCCCCAATGGACCTCAGGGACCGCACGCCAGCTGCTCAGCCCCATTGGAACCCAGGGACTCCATGCCAGCACTCCTAAAGGTAGGTGGGCTGGGTGGAGTAAAATGTAAATAAAAATAAAAATTGGTTTAAAAAAAAAAATTGTATGGGTTTCTGTTAGGGAGTTTGTATGTCTGTCTGTCAAATAGTATATGTGTTTGTCAGTGAGAATGATGCGCGCGCACGCACTCAGCAGTCTGGGCGCGCGCGCACTCAGTCTGAATTACTTTATTCTGTTATACGAGGTATTGGTAAAAAACTTATGTGTTCTAGCTTTGTTACATTTTGTGAGCAGTTTCCAATTTTTTGGTGTGTTTTGAAGGTTTATGCATGACTGTTGTAGCGTATTTCTTTGTTTTGCTTTTAGGTCACAACATTTTTTTTTTTTCCCCTGTATCGGGGAATGCTATGGAAATGTCCCCAGCAAGTGTATCATAAAGTTTGCTTGTGCTATGAAAAATGCCTACAGCCCATATAGACATGGTGCTTCAACAGCCCTCTGCCCCTGCTTCTTATTTCTACAAATGTATTTTTTTGGGTAGTAGTTTTACTAAAAATATTTAGCTTTAAAACAGCTCAAAACATACTTGTCATTAAAGGAACACTATAGGGTCAGGAACACAAACATGTATTCCTGATTCTACAGTGTTAAAGCCACCATCTACCTCCCTGTCCGACCCACTCTTGCCTCCCTAAATATAGTAAAATCTTACATGTATTCAAGTATAAAGCTGCTGCCTCTGCCTGCTGACATCAGAAGTGGTGGCCTGAGCCAATAACAATGCTTTCACATAGGATTGGCTGAGACTCAATGAAGCAGATCCTGCACAAGTCAAACACAGCCCTGGCCAATCAGCATCTCCTCAGAAAGATGAATTACATCAATGCATCTCTATTAGGAAAGTTCAGTGTCTGCATGCAGAGGGTGGAGACACTGAATGGCAGTGTTGCTTACTCTGCAGCATTGCCACAGGAAGCACCTCTAGCAGCCATCTGTGGAGTGGCCAGTGAAGTTATCACTAGGCTGTAATGTAAACTCTGCATTTTCTCTGAAAAGACAGTGTTTACAGCAAAAACTGTACTGTACTAAAAACAGTCTGTACTATACAACACTGAGTTGTATGTTGTGTTCTGTATTTTTGTAGATATATTGTTTTTTGGTTTCACAGGAAAAACCCTGAAGGGAATGATTCTACTCACCAGACCAAATACAATAAGCTGTAGTTGTTCTGGTGTCCCTTTAAGCATTTCAACAATCAGAGCTAATAAATTAAGGTATTTTTCTTATGTTTCACAGAAGTTATAATAAGCAAAGCTATCTTTAATATTACAGTCATACCTAGTGATGGGGCATCAGAAGAACCCCTTCAAAAAAAAATAAAAAAAAAATATATATAAGATAAGATATATATATAAATTAAAAATAAACCACAGTCTCCATCAAAAATACTTTCAATTTTACCAAAACTCCAATCATGGGTTATCATACAGTATGTAGTGGTTATAATGCCAGGAGTAACCTGGCCCGGTTCCACAGTAATGGAACAAACAGTTTAGCAAACGTTTGCCCCTTTACCGGTCTCCCTCTCACAAACATGCACATTTTCTGATTTACAGGTCCCTCTGGATTAGTATTTTTTAAGTCCAGTTAAATTTGAGGGAATGAGTAGGAGGGGGTTAAAATCAACAATCAAGATGAAGACAGGGAGCAATGTGAAATGTGCGTTCACTAGTACTTCAGAGAATGGCTTGTTTTTGTTAAAACTCTAAGGCACAGAGAGGAAATAGTACAGACACAGGCAGTCTGAAAAGGGTTCCCAACCACATGGCAAAACAGCATAGACCGCTCAGCATCTTTTAGCAGCGATAAAACCAAATAACATTCTTCTAACTTCAAACAACCAGCAGGAAATATTTTTCCACTAGAATTCTTAACGATGCACTCTGAAGGAGTACAGCGCATTGTAGTGGCTATGGTGGTATGAGCCTTTGGGTGCTGTCACTCTAGCTGGTCTAGATAGTGTCCCTGCCCATTTCTTTGTGTCACTCCAATGACATTTTAGGCACTGGACGCTATTCCTTCTACGAGTCTCAGGCTGCATTTCATTTCAAGATACAAGATACAGATTGGCATAATTTGTAAACCACTACCATTGCCCACTCTGGAATCTCCACTATGATGCTGGTCAATAGGTTTTTTTACCCCTGGCTATAATACAGTTTTGTGTCTCCATGTTTTCCTTTGAATGCTAAAGTAGTTTGACCAAAACCCTCCACAGTTGAACATCTAATACCAAAAAGGTAAACATAAGCATTATCTGCTCAATAAAAGGCAGAGCGCCGGAAAGGATCAGTCTGGAGCATTTCTTAGCTTGTCATTGCCATCAAAAGTTAGATGGACAACCCAGACTTTGTGCAGTAGTGCCAGGCTTTGGGGGTGGAGGAGAGAGACTTGTGTTTTGCTAAACAACTTGGAAAATTTAACAGAAAAATAAGGGGGGCAGCATTCAAAGACCCATTGGACCACTACTGAGTTGTAGTGGTTATGGTGCATTGAGTGGCCCTTTAACTGTGTTTTTTGTTTCAATACAAAAAGAGATACAATATTTTAACAAGCACAAACATACTATTTTACATACACACAGAAAAAAAAAAGTCAAAGAACTAAACTGAACTGGAGGTAACATCATGCTGAAGAACATGCTGAGAATAATATATATAAAAGAGATATCTAAAAGACCAGAATGGTAAATCTGCACACAGACAGACTAGGTTACACAGGATGAGGGGGTCACAGCAGAAATGTGATCAATGAAATTAGAAAAGGAAAGATTAGAAGAGCGTTGACCAACTTGCATAAACCTCACTTTATTTATTATGCAAAATACAAAACTAAAAAATTAAATGTGGAACCATTCTGCCTTCTGTGAACTGTACAGGCTGGTGATGGTGGTATAAGGGCCTGCACAATGAATTAATGGTGCACATTAGATCCTTTAATACCAACTGAACATCATCTGAATGCTCGGCATACCAAAGCATTGTTGCTGAGCATGTGCATTCTTTTATTGGCACGGTCTATGCGTTTTCAGATGAATACATCTAGAAGGACAATGCACTGTCACAACGCATACATTATTCAATCTGATTCTATTAACACGGCACACTTTCATTTACTGAACTGGTCTGCACAGTCCCCACCACATCAGGCTAACCGAGCACCTTCAGGGTGAGGTGGAACAGGGCATATGAAAAATGTCAATTTGCATAATTACGGTTTTCTGCACCTTAATGAAGTGTAGAACATTGGATTTTCCGATGGAAAATGGTACTAGATGACAAGTAGAAAACCAAACATACTAAAACATTCATGTATACAATAACATTAAAATATTTAGCACTATATACACACAAATATTTAAATATTTTAATACATATACTTAAACACATTCTGGGTAGAAGATAAATTAAACAATCAAGCAATTGTTTTAACAACTAAATTTGGATTTACAATAGGTTCACAAGGCATCCAAAAACATTTGAAATTGCTACGTTACAATATCCCAATGAGTGGCACAAAATAGCAAAAACTCAAAACACCTTATTGTGGGTTTCCCTTTATCCCCACATAAAAATAGACATATACATACGGTACAAGGTGGAGTATATTAGGTACAATAAGTCTTCCAATAGTAGTGGCAATAAAATAGTCCAAATGGGAATGTTCTCTAGAATATGAACATAAATAACAAGGAAATAGTGCAATATAGCCAATTTCAATCAGTAATCAATATGTATAAGAGATTAAGCACTCACAAACATAGAGCCAATTCAAAAGGCTCAATAGTAGAGCTCTGTGGGTACTAAAGGGACCCACTTCCTTCTTGTTGCTGCCTGCAGTATCCACATATAGGATGTCCTCTCAGGATGTATCAAAAATAAAGTGCTTTATTTGAATATGCACATAAATATATAAAATACATAAAAATCGGTAGAAAACCTTACAGTTGGTGAAGGTTGGTCCTTATCTAAGGTGCAAAATGCGTTTCGCCTCGTCTAGAGGCTTCCTCAGTTGCTAGTTTGTATCCACAGTAAGTCTGCCTTAAATGTCCTCCCCTCTGGCAGTCTTTTTGGGAGTTTTTCGGCCTTTTCGAATGTGTTTCACTTCCGCGTTCGGCCTTTTGTGTTCCATCCGTGGAACGCATGTATCCTCTGACGGGTAGATTTGGTGTTGCTGCGTTCCACTTCCGTTTCCGGGTTCGGCTGTATGCGTTCCATTCGTGGAGCGCAAATGGCGCTTAGGATTTCCACATTATGTGTCCCAGGCACCCCTCTGTGTACACTCATCTTGTCACAGTCTTAGTGTAATAGAGGATAAGATATAAAACTAAATCCTATATTAACAAGAAGCATAGGTTACATATTACACATAGTGTGTCTCTAAGAGGTTGATTATCTCACAGTTTGGTTACACTTCAAAAGGAAGGGTACATATTCACAGTTTGGTTACACTTCAAAAGGAAGGGTACATCTACACTGCCACTACTATTGGAAGACTTATTGTACCTAATATCCAAAAACATTTGCTTGCTAGTTTATATAAAATACCACATTTGGAGAGAACTCACACATAAATGCAAAGGACTTTAATTTCTAAAAATCAATGCATCTCCCCTCATCCCCTCTAGTTTGTTTTCTCCAAAATGCATGTGTAACAGAAAAGGGGAGAACTTGGCCTTGACCTCCGCACTGGAAAAGAGGTAAGTTAACTTTGAGAGTTTTGACTGTTATCAGTCATTTCAGTCTTCAAACTAAATTTTGAACGTGATAGGCATTTAAAGATAGCACAGCAATATTGGAGGGGGCTAGGCAGAGATGGGGTATGTCATCACCAATGACACGCATGCCCCTTCAAAGTGACCGTGGCATCCAATGCGCAGAGCCCTGCTCTGTTCTTGCTTGGAGAAAGTGCCCATGTTTTATGCAGCACAAGCCAATAGGATGGCATGCTTGCTCTGCATTTACTGGTGAATAGTCTCTGGTGTTGAGGAAAGCTGGATACCAGATGACGAACGTGAATGTAGGTGTGTGTATATCTGGTGGCCGCAGTGATAGAGGCTTTAGAGTAGATAAATTTAATATTAAAAAAAATAAATATCTTTCCGTTTTGTAACTTATGTCGATGGGAGGGTGAAATGTTGGTGGTCCAGTAAGCATTACTGAGTGAGAGCATTGCCAAGGTAATCTGCAGCAACACCCTCAGTAGCCAGAGCTCAAGGTAACAAAGCACTAGGTCTGCATCCACTGGAGGCTCCATGCAACACTTTCAACATCTTTGATCTCCCCACTGGCCTTTGAAGGGAAATATTTCCTTCTTTGGGGCAGCAATCCATGAACGTTGGCCCTTCATCGGCTGACTGCCAAGATAATTTGCTCATGACCATCACATCCCACTGGGCATTTGTCCATGTTGCCCGAGGGAGAGTCTAGGCTTGACCATAACCACTACAGCCAGGTGTGCTTATAGAGCTTGGACCGTTTCAAGGAAAAAGTGTGAATGCGCAGGCAAGGGGTGTGTGTCTGTGTGTGTCCCCATAGAGAGGTTCTGGGGACACCCCAGACCACAACAGCAAAAGGTCAAGCATTTATAGTTACTTCTAAAACTACATATTCTGCTAACACAGTTATAAATTACTTTGTATTTATAAAAAGTTAAAAATAAAATAAAAAAAAATTGTTTTTTTTTCCCCATACTGAATTTTCAAATGCTAGAGATTGTGAAATGCAAATAGATAATCTTGGTAGTTGACACCATTTAGGAAGGCCTGAGAATTATGGGAGTTACACTCAAAGCCATTAATTATGCTGCACTCAATTATGTTCCTCTCCTGCAATGCCCAGGAGCCTGGGACACAGAACAACATTTATACGTATACATTATATACACACAATTTATGGTCTTTAAAAATGTAGGCAAAACAAACCATTGTATTTATATAAGGTAACACCAGGTCACCGCCTGAAGATCCTGTATTAATTGATGCAAATCCCAGATCTGCAGCTTCAGTAGTAAGCTCTCACCAAACCAGTACCTAGTTCAACCTTGATCCTCTCAATATCGGCATATGTCAAAAACTTTGGAACAAAATGGTCTGTACGAATTGTAGATTAGGTAACAGCTCATGACAACTACAAATCCAACAAACACCTTTTGTGCTGACTTTCAGGATAACACAGTTATAAAGGAGACATGTTAAAAGGACATGTCTGGAAAATTGGTTGAGTATAGATTTGAAGTTCAAGAGCTCAAAAGAACAGCTTATTTGAGCAAATGAATAATCAGTTTTTTTAGTAAAAGTAAAAATGTACTCTACATGTCACTTTTAAAGAGTTAATAACCCCCATCCCGGTGCAGGGACACCAAAAACTATTTCCCTCAAGGATCTACATAGCAGAAATTCTTCTTAACAAAACTACATGTCAGGAATTTTTTATATTACAGAGTGCCAAATAAGCATATGCAAAAAGCCTAGTAAAATTCCACTTTACAATCAATATAAAAGTCTTACTTCTCCCAGTAATTAGAACTGTTCATGAAGTTCTAAAGTTTTTAATATATTATTTTGTTATTGACCTAATCAACTGATGTTCAAGGTTTCAACTATATAAAAACAAACATTAAACACACTAACTTGCAGCTTACTTACAAATTTCCATGATGGCTGCAGTAGTGAATAAGACTACATCCACTGAGTAGGCCATATCTGTAGTTTTACAGCTGTTAAAACACATTCGGAAGGTAATCTTCACAAGCAATATAATTAACGTTGCAGCGTGCCCATGGATAAGTACTATATTAGAGTTGCACTACTGCTATAACTCACAATCTGTACTGGATCACGTTCTTGAAAATACTTTCTTCAGAAACCCAAAAATAAAAATATCAAAGCATATATAAAGTCCACCATTGTCCAGCCGGTCTGTCAAATAGAATACAAGCAAAACAACTATCCAATCAGAGCTTCCATTTAGAGCACAGTTTGTGGTTCCGCTTGCAGGCTCTGTATACAAGGGAAAAGCAGTAATGTCTGTCAGCAGCATGCGCAGACTAACTTAAATTATGCACAGAGAATTGATATTAGGCAGTCCGGAGCGCCAATGTCATGTGTGCCAGGGGTGTAACTATCCTCCAGTACACAATTAACAATATCTCTGGATATATAGTGTTTCAAGATGAAAAACTGCACATCTAAACTCTCACCACCATGACCACTTCAAATCACTGATGATACTTGCACTAGCGTAAATTGTGTTTTGTTTAAGTTTTATTTCTAGAATTTTGATTTTTGCATTTGTTTATTTTGGTTTTGTATATCCCTTTTGCGTCATGAAAAATAATGTGTAACATCTCATTTGTATTTTTGTTATTAAAATATTAAGAATCCGATTCTATTTAGAGCTCTGGTATCTGTATTCAAAAAGCTAAAAAGAGACCAATACAATACTGTGTTAAATTGTGTAAGTGGCTTGGCTTGCCCATTTTTTAAATTGTCTTTGTGGTGGAAGCTTTTGGATAGTAAAAGAGCACAGTTTGTGGTTCCGCTTGCAGGCTCTGTATACAAGGGAAAGACTCGTCTTTACCCGTGTGTCTCATTTCCTCAATTCCAACTCTCTCCTTGACCCCCTTCAATCTGGCTTCCACCCTCTCCACTCTACAGAGACTGCCCTTATCAAAGTTACTAACGACCTAATCGCAGCTAAATCCAAAGGCCACTAATCCATACTAATACTTCTTGACCTCTCAGCGGCCTTTGACACCGTTGATCATGCTCTCCTTCTTCAAACTCTGCAATCGCTTGGTCTCTGTGACTCTGTCCTCTCATGGTTTTCCTCTTATCTCTCCCAACGCTCATTCAGTGTCTCTTTTTCTAATGATACCTCCTCCCCTCGCCCTGTCTCGGTTGGAGTCCCCCAAGGCTCCGTCCTTGGTCCCCTTCTATTTTCTCTTTATACTGCCTCTCTTGGCAAACTTATTACCTCATTTGGTTTCCACTACCACCTGTACGCTGATGACACCCAGCTATATCTCTCCTCCCCGGACCTCTCCCCTGCTGTCCTGCAACGTGTCACTGCTTGCCTTTCTTCCATCTCTGACTGGATGTCCTCCCGCTTTCTGAAACTCAATCTCTCAAAAACTGAGCTCCTTGTCTTTCCTCCTCCTAATACTGATCCTCCTCTTTCGCTCTCCCTTCAAGTTTGTGGTACCAACATCAGCCCATCCTTGCAAGCGCGCTGTCTTGGCGTCATACTTGACTCTGGCCTCACCTTGGAGCCTCACATCCAGCATGTTGCCAAATCCTGTAGATTCCATCTTAAAAACATAGCCCGCATCCGCCCCTTTCTTGCACCAGATACTACCAAGGAGCTTGTCCATGCTCTAATAATTTCACGCATGGATTATTGTAACCCTCTCCTGCTTGGTCTTCCCAAAAGCCGTACTGCACCCCTACAGTCTGTAATGAATGCTGCTGCTAGACTGATTTTCCTCTCTAGTCGGTTCTCTCACACCTCACCCCTCTGCCAGTCCTTACATTGGCTTCCTGTGTGCTATAGGAGTCAATTCAAGGCACTAACTCACACCTATAAAGCACTGAACAACTCTAGCCCCTCTTATATCTCCTCACAGGTCCACAGGTATGTCCCTTCTCGGTCTCTCCGCTCTGCCCGTGACCACCTCCTGTCCGTTGTCCGTACGGCCAACTCGCGCTTGCAGGACTTCTCGCGGGCGGCTCCCTTCCTATGGAACAGCCTGCCTACCGCCATCCGACTCTCCCCTAGTCTTGCATCTTTTAAAAAGTGCCTTAAAACCCATCTCTTTAGGAAAGCTTATGGCCTCCAAGACTAACCCCTACCTCACATACCCATCTCTTGCCCTCTCCTAAAGGGCAGCCCACCTGATTTGATTGCACATTCCTGTCCTAATGTGTTTTACACCCCACCTCCTATAGAATGTAAGCTCGATTGAGGAGGGTCCTCTTCAACCTATTGTTCCTGTAAGTTTATTTGTAATTGTCCTATTTATAGTTAAATCCCCTATCATCATATTGTAAAGCGCTACGGAATCTGTTGGCGCTATATAAATGGCAATAATAATAATAATAATAATAATAATAATAATAATAATAATAGTACAGTGGGTGGTGTTAAGATTATTATTCTAATTCTAGGGTAGACAAAGAGTGATTTTTAACCCTTTCACCCCCAAAACCAAGTGGCAAGCACGCTTGGGAGTAGTGTGTCTCTAAACGTGGAGGAAGAAAATGGAAAGCACCAGCATTAACTTGCCCACAAGAATACGTATGAACCATTACAATTTGTCAGTCCTCTAGACACATGCTTGGACAATTCCATAAATGCTTGCATCTTTTATAGTGTAAACATTACTTTCATGTACCAGATCATTTAACCATGACAGGAAGTTAATATAGCAACAAATACAAGCATTTGCATTCGAGAGACAAACATGGTTGTTTCATATAATCTAGCACAAAGACCATACATCAAGCAAAAAAAAAAAATTCATAAATGCAACTCATAAGGTAAATTAAAAGGATTATGAAATTATGCTTCTTTGATCATTACCCTTGAATCACACCATGAATTACACTAAGCACCATGACCACTAAAGCGTGTTCCCTTTCCTGGGCGCAATTCTCGCCTCCAATCATTATAAAAACTTCATATTGATCGTCTTGGAATTTTATTGCATTGTAAGGACTTTAAAACGGTGTAAAAATGGCTGTAGCACAGACTTTCGGGTTAAAAAAGTGTTCGTAAATGGTTTAACCCCTAAAACTTGAGCCAACAAAATGGACCTCTTGGCACCATAACTTAATTCTGATAAAGTTGGTATAGTGCCCAAACTGGTCCTTTAAAAGAGGCTTTGTTTTGTTTTTTAAACCACCAGGCAAACTGTACACAATTTAGGAAGATATACGTATTTAAAAGGACTTTTTTTTTTTCTTTTTTTTTAAGGGATCAAGGGATTGACCGATGTGGATTTTTTTTTTTTTTTAGAGCCGATACCGATAATCTGTACATTTACCATTCTGAAAAAATTAACTATTTCTAAAGGTAAATGAACAAAATATACATGCCACATGTAATGGATGCAGTGTGTTTAGACAGGAGAGCTGTGTGTGTTTGTGTAGTGAATGCAGAGTGTGTATAGTGAATGCAGTGAGTTTGTGTAGTGTGTATATACAGTGAATGCAGAGTCTGTAATGAAAGCTATGCGTGTGTAGTGTGAATAGTGAATGCAGTGTGTGATATAAAGAATGCACAGTATGTGTGTAGTGTGTCTATAGTGAATGCAGTGTGTGTAAAGTTAATACAGTATGTGTAGTGTGTATATAATGAATGCAGAGTGTGTGTTTGTGTAGTGTGTGTATATATAATGCAGAGCGCATGTGTGTTTTTGTAGGTATGTAATTTGTGTAAAATGGGGAGTAGGGGGAGATTTTTAGCTACTTTTTTTTTTTAAATATTAAATATTGTTTTTTTAAGCCCCCCTCCCTGCTTCTTACTTGGCTAGGGAAGGGGTCTATGGCATTCCCTGGTATTCCGGTGGCATGGACTGTGCAGAGGGGGCCCAGCAAGCGCTTACTTACCTTCCCAGCAGCTCCCATCAGCTCCCCTGTGTAAATCTTGCGGTCTGTGTGCCGCATGGAGTGTTGCCATGGTAACCCGAGATAACGCTCTGACGGCCGTGGGATGCGCAATATTTACACAGGGGAGCTGCTGGGAAGGTAAGTAAGAGCTACCTGCGGGCCCTCAGCCGCTCTAGCAAGTGCTGCTGCAATTAATAATGAATCATAAAAGGTTTTAGCAAATATTTACTCATCCAAATAGAGAAGAATTTACAAATGAAGGTCTTGAATCTATTTTTGGTCTATTTTAAGTTTACGACACACAAATACAATTGGCATGAAATAGAGGAAATACTAGAATATTGCGGTAAAGATATTATAAAAACACCTTTACAAAATTTTCTCAACAGAACGGCTGAACTTGTTTTTAGAATATTTCGTTTTTATCCTGTTATTTGACTTAATTTGGTTGTTTCGCCAGAAATTTAAACAGTTTTAAAATTGGACTACATTGGTTATGGGGCCAGGAGTGACTCGTTCATGAAGGGTTTTACAACGAACCTGAGTGCCCCGGGCAGTAGCTGGCTACTCCTGCAGGCGAAGATTGAGCTAATCACGACCTGATAAGTTTATATTAAAAAGATTAAGTAAATGATATCCCAATCAAGTTCAATCTAAGAATAACCAGGACACACACTGCATATGAGGAGGAGAAATAGAAACATTGTTTCAATTCTCTTCTTTGCATACTTTCTCTATGGTGACTGACAGGTGCAAAGGGCAGTGCTTATAACAATGATTAACAGGGAGCCAAGATGGAGACCCCTAGTTGCAGGTTAAAAAGGTTATGCATCTCTATATTTAAAGGGAGACTATAGTCACCAAAACAACTTTAGCTTAATGAAGCAGTTTTGTTGCATAGATCATGCCCCTGTGGTCATACTGCTTAATACTCTGCCATTTAGGAGGTAAATCACTTTGTTTATGCAGCCCTACTCACACCTTCCTGCATGTGACTTGCACAGCCTTCCTAAACACTTCTTGTAAAGTGAGATCTAATGTATACACTGTATTGCACACGGTTTAATTTTAGTTCGAATTTCTTATCTCCTGCTCTTTTAATTGCTTTGTAGACCCTGCATGCAAATAAAGTTCAATTTATAAAGCAAGAGATAAAAACGTAGATGCATAATTGCAAAAACACAATATGCAATGATATAGCATACTTTTTTTTTTTTAAACACCTTTACCCTACCCCCCCACACACACAGTACCCCTACCCCCCACACAGCACTCCTCCCCTCCCCAACACCCAGCACCCCCCCAACCCCCCCCACACACAGCAGCCCTACCCCCTCACACACACACACACACACAAACACCACCCCACACCCCTCAATGCAGTATGTGTGTGTATTCAGCAGCCTGTGTGTGTGTGTATATAACTGTGTGTGTGTACTCAGCAGTGTGTGTATTCAGCGGACTGTGTATATATTCAGCAGTCTGTCTGTATGTGTATTCAGCAGAGTGTGTGTGTGTGTGTGTATTCATCAGTCTCTGTATTCAGTAGTCTTGTGTGTGTGTATTCAGCAGTCTGCGTGTATGTATTGCATTTGCTGGAGATACTAATATAAGCTTAATTTTATTTATTTATATACTAATATAAGCTTAATTTTATTTATTTATATCATTATTTAAAATTTGTATCATTGCAATCTCTGTTGTGTTTTAAAACAAAATTTGTTAATTAGTTCGGACAACAGTACGAGTTGTTTTTTCTAAACTTAAACTTCAGTATTGAGGTTTAATTGCCGTGTTGGCACTTTAAGGAAAAAAATAAAAAAATAAAGTATTGCGGTTTGGGCACTCGGGCTCAAAAAGGTTCGCCATCACTGGTCTATAGACTAAAACTGCTTCATTTAAGCGGCAGTCATGCTGAACTTACCTTTCCCCAATCGATTCCTCTGTCAGGATCTGTTCTTCATGTCTGCTCTAGTTTCCTTTAAAGCATAAGAAAAAGTAGGGACTACTTTGTCTTATTGAGGTTTCCTATGCCTAATCAGCGGAAGAGCAAAGGGTGCTTCATTTCCAGTGGTCAGAGCAATTTCCCCACAATTCTCACCTTTGATCTGTTATTTCCATCCAGTGTTGCATTAATTTTTCACCAAGATCTTGTATTGATGATGGGAGAGTCGGACCACTGCGCCAAGCCTTCTCCAGCACATCCCAAAGATCCTCAGTGGGGTTAACATCTGGACTCTGTGGTGACCAATCCATGAGTGAAAATGTCTCATGCTCCCTGAACCCCTCTTTCACAATTTGAGCCCAATGAATCCTGGCATTGCCATCTTGGAATATGCCCGTGCCATCAGGAAAGAAAAAAAAAATCCATTGATGCAATAACCTGGTCATTATGCATATTCAGGTAGTCAGCTGACCTCATTCTTTGGGCACATAATGTTGCTGAACCTAGACCTGACCAACTGCAGCAACCCCAGATCATAGCACGGCCCCCACAGGCTTGTACAGTAGGCAATAGGCATGATGGGTGCACCTGCCCCTCTTCTTACATTTCTTTAGAGACGATGGTTCCCCACTATCCTTCCAGTTTTTAATAATGCGTTGGCGTTCTTAACCCAATTTTAGTAGTTTGTCTCAGACGTTTTCTCTGCTTGATGCATGCCAATGATTTGACCCTTCTCAAACAGACTAACATCTTTTACACGACCACAAGATGTGTCTTTCGGCATGGTTGTTTAAGAAATGAGAAGCTACTCATTGCATCAATTGGGGTTAAATAACGTGTTGCCAGCTGAAAGATAATCGCCCATGCAGTAACTATCCAATAGGAGGCTCTTACCTATTTGCATAGTTAAATCCAGGTGGAGACTTTTTTTTGGCCGGGGGGGTGTGTGTGTGTATATATATATATATCTATATCTATCTATATCTATCTCTCTCCCCTTTTCAACCCAATCTCTACTTCTTACAGTTTAATGATTTTCATGTACAAATCCATACATGGCATTTTTAATTATTCCATTTAACAACAAAGGGCAAAGGATCAAGAGCAGCTGGTAGCGAGTACTTCCCCCATCAATTCCATGCGTACACAAAATAATCCTTTAAGGATTAGTAAATGCTACAACAGCAAGTTTATAGACAACTCATTCAGAAGATAACACAGAACAAGGTTAGGACACAAACACAGTTTGCTCCTTTGCTAAAAAAAAAATATATATATATATATATATATTCCCTTTTTTACCAGAATGTATGTAGATTCTAGCTGGTTTACACCTCGTTTGCCTTCTAAATCAGCAATTGGGCATCAACTGAATACCAATCATACAGGGATTCAGTGGATTTTAAGAACAAACTATATGTTAACCAAATTGTAGTTTGCTTTCTGTAACTAGCAGAATGAGCTTCACAAATTAAAGCCTTAAGTATAAGTACCAATGATTATGTAAAGCACAAAATGGTGAAGATTTCCGTTGGTTTCCAATTCATCTGCTCCCTCACCAACATAGCTGTATTTTACTCACTTTATCAATATATCCATATAGTTGTACACACATTCGTGTTTGCCTCAATGTGTATTGTATGTCTAGTACCATTGCCCCTGGAACAGCCTTTTTCCTCTGACCTTATGTAATGTTAGAAATGTCTTCCCCCACCTCAAAATCTGTACGTCTGGCACTCAGGATAATGTAGAATTCATTTTCCCTGTTGTGTTATCCAACAAAATGATACAACTTCCAAGAGAACCACACTCTTTCAGTAGATTATAGCCTCTTTGCAGATTTATACAAAATTTGTCAACTTTTCATCAGGCTATACACATACAACTTTTGTTTTGTAAAAGCAAAATTTGAGAAAAAGTTACACAGTTTCAAGACTATGCAAGAGTGCCTTTGCTAATCCCATTACCCTACAACGGTATGTTGAACTGAATCTGTTCTGAATAGCCCAACATCGTGCAGTGTACTGGCAAGGACCCTGGCAAATGCCCTAAAAATAAACCTAATTTGTTGACAATAACAGCTTGTTTTTTGGAACACTCAATTGTAGTTTAAGAACAATGTAGCTTCATATTAAAAAGGCAATATGTGTTGTGTCACATTTTCTTGCAATGAAAAAACAAAATAAACGGTTAAGTCATTCCTGTGACAAAGTTTTATTTTCCCCCCACATTTCACCTCTTTTCTAATAAGTGATATTCAGGGCGATTTATATTTTTATAGTGAGACTTTAATATCATTGGAACGATTTGCAGCTTTTTTTCCAGTTTTCCGCCGATATAAACCCTTAATAGATTGATCCATCGCTTCAAACCATTGTTGTTGATAAAAATTCAGTCTAAGACCTAAAAGGTGATCGTGGCCGGCAAGGTTTTTTCATTTGCTATCCCCCTTTCATGCAGGTATTTGGGTTCTTTGTATTTTGTGCATACGTTGCGCACGCACTACTCAATTAAAAAAAAAACAAACAAAAAAAAAAAAAAAACATTTTATTCTCTATGCGGTTCACCTAGCATTTTGTCTAAATAAACTGGTACTTTGAAGGATTTGCATCACTGAAGCAGTCTGTTTATTAATAGTGCGGTCCACTCATTTTCTTCAGGCAATTTAAGATTATGGAACTTTAAGACCAACACCAGGAGCAAAAAGAAAGTACATTCCTTTTATACATCTAAAAATCTTTAGAGTTTGGAGCTACACCATAGTCTTATTACCTTTTCTTATCCAACTATTAAGATTAATACATTATAAAATGCCCTATGAGTAATGGTAATTTTATACCTTGTTCCAGTGATGCTCTTTCAGGTCTTGCCTGTGAAGTCACCCAAGAAGAGGGATTGGATCCGCACATTTGGACTGGCAAGGTGAGTGGAAGAGGGAGGATTTCTCCCAGGTTTTAAACGGAGGGAGGCGAAAGCTAGTTTCCCTTTGCAGGCAGAGCGCCGTGTGTGCCGAGAACAGCCATAAAATTTGCACAGAATGGACATTAGTCAGGCCAGAACAGAATTCTCAGCTGCGTAAGTCACGTGTGCCGGGGGTTTAGCTAGCTCTGATGACACAATCAACAATATCTCTGGATGTGCAGCGTTTCAAGCTGTCGCACTCACTACTTCGAACACATATGTCTAGTTCTCCATAACTACCTTGCCTCTGCCCTAACCCGATGTACTTCCCCAAAAAATAAAGTGCAACTTCTCATGCTGCTGTCAAGTGTGTGTGTATACACACACACACACACACACACACTGTGGTGGCGTTTGATGCCAACCTGTACAACAAAATAGAGTAAAGTGGTCAATCTTAGTTTAACCAACAACGATAAATGAATAACAAACAAATGGGAAAGCCCAACCCACCGGTACAGAGGGAGCACACAAACACAAGTATTAGAGTATTTTCCATGGTTCCTAAATTCTGTGAAATGCTTCAATAGTGTGACTGATGTGCATACACAGATAGCTTATCCATCAACATTATAGTATTGAACCTCAGGCATTGTGGGAAGGTATTTTTATAATTAACAAGTTGCTATAGTTTTCCAGGCACCAACTGACACGCTAGTCTAGAGAGAGTAGACTTGTCTTTTAGTTCGCTTGTCCTCTGGCAACTACAGAAAAAAAAATAAAAAATACAAAATGTTCAATATTTTTAAACATATAGAACCACAATGCTCCAAATAAGCTTTACAACAAAAGCATTGCACCCAGTTCTACCTTCTCTTGTGGCACATGACTACTGGACAAAATAAATCCGTCCAGACAAAAATACAAAATCGATCACATACTCACTGGGTTAATAAAGAAATATTTCTTCAGAGGTTTGAATATTTACAGAGGCATGCTCGGCCACAAAAATGCTAAAGTAGAGTAGTTAGAACAGCAGTTTGTATAGGTTACTTCTCACTTAGTAATTTAGCAAAACTGATTTAGTAAGAGATACCAATAGCAGGCACTGATCACTTTCCAACATTGTCTTTATAGGTTTTTCTTAGTGGCCCGGTCATTTCTTCTTTTTTTTCTCCTCCTTTTGATTTTTCTTTCCTTATGCCTTTTCTATTTAAATGTCTAAACTCCCTCCCTTGCAGCTTGCCTTTATTTATAAATGTATTATCTTTTCTTCCTTGTGCTGGATCTCAATGCCTGTGGCACATCAATTTTGTTCTCCTCTGTCGAGGATATCTGTCGTTTGTCCTGCTGTGGGATTCATTTTACTGATTGATTGTGGATAAATTGGATTGACAACTTAAATGGAACTATGCTTTAAACTCCACCCGTTAAGTTGTCTCAAATTGAAAAGGAAACGTATTCTCCACTTTTCTTTTATGAGTGTTAATTTTGGCAGCAAATTTCAATTTAGTTTTAGTCATAGTCTTGACTAAAATGCAGTTTTAGTAGTATTTTAGTCATTTGAATTGTTTTAGTCGACAAAATCTCAAAAATGTCAGTGGACAAAAATTAACACGGTTATGCATTTATCAAAATGTGAGTGCTCAAAAAAATAAAAAAAGATTCAGACACGGAGTTATACAGAAGTAGATTAGATAAAGTTTATTTTTGGTGACAGAGCCTCATTAAATTAAATACAAGAAATTCAGCCAACTGCTGCATGTATAAGACCCCTTATTACATAACAGAGGTCTAGGACAATCCTGTGCAAAAGGCCCCCCTCAAATAATTCACAGGATCTTCCCAGTGGCACGTGCTGGATTGCAGCATGTTACAAGAATACTGGCATGGGCAGTTGTGCAAGGAAGCGTGCCAGGGTATGAAAAAAAATAAATAAAATTTTTTTTAATAAAATCACAAAAGGGCTCGTGCACCAAATCTATTGTATTTTATTTGTTACTGCAAATTAATTGGCACCAGGGAGGATTACTATATGAAAAAATATAAAATAAATTTAAAAAAAATAAAAATGCAATAAGAATGTCTACTTAAAAAGGTGTAAAGAATGGTGCTCTACAATTTCATTTATTTGTACAGTCAAAGTCTCCATCTTTTAGGATATTTCACAAATACATTAAAGGGTTACTCCAAGCATCATAGCCACCACAGCCTACTCTAGTGATTATTATGCCAGAAGTACCCTGGGAATGTTTTATAACTAATTTCTACCTTACCTGGGTCCCCACTGGGCTCTGATGCGATCTGGTGGTCTAGTGATGAGCTTCCAACTTCTGCAGAGCCAGAAGCCATGGTGGTCAACATTCATTGACTGAGAGCATCAGTGGTTAATGCTCAGCGAATGAATTACATTCTGTACAATGAAAGCTGTACTGAATAAACATTAGCCAGCCCTGGGCTCTAGTTCCAAGCTGGCTAATGACATTCTGGGTGGAGTTACACCTCCAGTGGCAGAGGGGTTAATCTTTGAATGTGAAGCATTTCACAGCAAAACACTGCACATACAGGTTTCAAGGACCATGGTCACTTTAAATCACTTGGAGTAACCCTTTAATGTAGAGTTAACATCTTGAAATAAAAATATCCATGTACCCAATGATTTTAGAGGTATACATACACCTGTTGAAGGAAGTAGATGTAATGAATTTCTTTTAAAAAGGAACCACAGGGATTGAAGTGTACCTTGATGGTACATTTCCACCTCCTCTATTCTCATGGAACCACGAACTCCAACAGATCTCCATTCTGCCATTCACATTTTATAATATGCATATGCAAGCTGTATTTAGAGGTTTCCAGCAAGAAATTTTGTATTCCACCAACATCGAATTTTAAATAAATATGAATGTGTATATTTATGGATTTTCTACAGAAAGACCTCATAAAACGATCCATTTCTGCTTGCATTTTCCTTTAAACCTTCACCTCCTTTCAACATTATCCTCATCCTAATGTCCAAGTCTATAGACATAGGTCCTGGGGCACAGGACCTCTTTCTTGTAAATTCTGACGACAGCTGTATGGCTAGTTTGTAAGGAGCTACACAATGACCTTTATAGGAGAAGAATAGTTAGCATATGGAGTTACATTAGTTTCCAACAGATATTATGTAAGGCCATGGACACCACACATAATATGCAAGTACGTACATGTTCGGCAGCTGGAATTTCCGGAAGAAGAAGACAGTGTGTGGAGACTGGGAGAGGAGAGTAAGTTATCGGTGACTTACAAGGCCGGCACAGATTATTGTTAAAATGCTGGATATCTGTGGAACGGATTATCTGTCTATCCCTCAATAGCGCATTCTTAAAGTTGTTAAACAATGTGAATGGTAAAATTTAGCGGTGACTTTTTTGGGGGAAGTTTTTACAGATCAGCTTTTTTTGCCAAAATCTTGACATTTAGATTAAATTGCTACAATGCAAAAGTTACAGTGATAAAACTGATCCGTGTCAATAGACTGATTTATTCAAAGGAGAATATAATTTGTGTATATATATATATATATATATATATACACACACACACACACACACACACACACACTTACTTTTTGGGCATTATTAAATATTGATGGACTGTTGTGTTTACCGTGTTTCCCCGAAAATACACCCTACCCCGAAAATAAGACCTAGCTGAATTTTCGGGGTGGGCTGCAATATAAGCCCTACCCCGAAAATAAGACCTAGGCATTGTACCTTTCGGCCCGGCGGGACTTCCTTCTTCTATGAGGAGGAGGAGGAGCGTTGCAGGCCGCGGCATCGCGCAACGTGATGACGACGTGCGCAGCGTCGTCAGTCTGCCTTCACGGATCTTCAGCGGAAGGATCCATTTCCGGGCGGTGAGGCACCCAGTGGTCGGACTCGGCGGGCAAGGAAGGCATCTTTGAAATGTGAGTAGATATTTTATGTCTGGGACTGAATTAATTAAAGGGGGCGATGAATTAATTAAAGGAGGCGGTGAATTAATTAAAGGGGGGCTGGATTAATTAGAGGGGGGTGGATTTTATTAATTAATTAAAGGGGGGTGGATTAATTAAAGGGGGGTGGATTAATTAGAGGGGGTGGATTTATTAAAGGGGGGTGGATTTATTAAAGGGTGGGTGGATTAATTAGAGGGGGTGGATTAATTAAAGGATTGGATTAATTAAAGGGGGGTGGATTAATTAGAGGGGGTGGATTAATTAAAGGAGGGGTGGATTAATTAAAGGAGGGGTGGATTAATTAGAGGGGGTGGATTAATTAAAGGGGGGTGGATTAATTAAAGGGGGATGGATTAATTAGAGGGGGCTGGATTTATTGGGGGGTGGATTAATTAAAGGGGGGTGGATTAATTAGAGGGGGATGGATTAATTAGAGGGGGGATTAATTAAGGGGGGTGGATTAATTAAAGGGGGGGGTTAAATGTACATACCGGTACCATAAATAAATAAGCCCTACCCTGAAAATAAGCCCTAGTGTGTTTTTTGGGACTAAAATTAATATAAGACCCGGTCTTATTTTCGGAGAAACACGGTATTACTCCGTGGGTTTAAATGTTGATGGAAATATTGAGTCATTAGCTCCACTTGTAAAATTGTATCCTTCAGAAAATGGGCAGTCTGTTTAAACTGGGAACTTCAAAGCCTCTTAAACAGTGACCTTGCGGATAACCCTTATCTGATTAAAGCACTAGTCTTCCATTCTGAGTAAACTGACATGGTCCAAACATGTGGCCTTTTAAAATGTAGAAAGCATAGGGTAAATAAATAATAATAATAATAATAATAATAATAATAATAATAAAAAAATAAAAAACACCTAAAATTACAAAAATCCTGCATTGGGCAGAATTGCTGAGGCTTTGCCTCTTGTCCCCAAATGAACCTTCCAGACATAAGATTATCAAGCCCCTCGTCTACACTGATATACTATTAAAGAAAAAAAAAAAAAATTTCCTTGTATTGACTTATTTTATTCGAATAAATTAGTGTCATAGAACTGATGATTATGAGCTTTAAAATAAAAGTCAGATTACAGTAATTAAAGTATATTAAAGCTATTTTCATGCCATTTTACCATATTTTATACAGATTCTGTATAGTAGGAGCACTCATTTTGGGACCGACCAGTTTTATTTAGATAGATTTATAGATCTATACAAATTCCAGAGTTCAGCTACACAACATAACAAGTAGGAGAATGACTTAGATTTTACAAGTACAAATGTAAAGGTCAGATCACAGAATGCAGTCATTCTACGTGTTCTATCTATCTATACACGCAGACCTCTATAAAAACGGTATGTGTAAGATTATAATCATTGTAGCACAATATATGAAGACAGCATTGAGCTGGTCACCATCAACGTAAATTCGCTTTCAAAATATATTCAGATTCCTCAACCAAAGCAGGTTTTCAAGATGAATGAAATTCGGTTTTTTTTGTTTTTTGTTTTTTTAATGTTTATATGATAGAGGGGAAGAGACACATTGGAGGAGATCTATTAAGACAGATTTTGAAAAAAATTATCCGTATTATTGGTACAACCTTTTTTCTCCAATCCCTTCCATTTTTTTTGCAACCATGCCATTTCTTTTTTATTCCATCACGTTTCATGCCAGATAAGAGCTTCTTCTCATTATTCCTGCCACCCTAAGTTTGTGATTTTTTCGCAAAAAATATATATTCGAGAAAAAAAAAATTAGGAGAAAGCTGACACTTTTTAGACCATTTCAAGAACTTTAAATAGATCAGCAATAATAAGACCCTTTTCAGAACATATTTACAGATTTCCCTCTTTGTGTCAATAAATATAGTACACAGATAACGGATTAAGGAAAAGCGCACATAAGAGCAGACTCCTTACAGTTCCTGTAAAATAAGTAAAAGGCAAAGGAAATCACAAAAGAGACCATGGTAATCCCATATGGCTAACAACCTGCTGCATGCTCCAGAGTGGAACCGATCCATTCTTTTTATAATGCATTAAAAAGGTTACTCCAATCACTATGATTACTTCTGCTTCTTGAAATGGTCATGGCGGTAGGAATGTGTCTGTGCAGTTTTTCTGTTTATTACATTTATTATTATTGCCATTTATATAGCACCAGATTCCATAGCACTTTACAATATTATGAGGGGGGGGGGGTTAATTATGAATAGGACAATTACAAGAAAAAAAAAAGACTTGCATGAACAATAGGCTGAAGAGGACCCTGCTCAAACAAGCTTACAGTCTATTGGAGGTGGAGTATAAAACACATTAGGACAGAAAATAGCAATCAAATAAGGTGGGTGTGAAGCAGTGCTGGAGGAAAGAGCAGGAGACAGGTATGTGAGGTAGAGGTTACTCTGGGAGACCATAAGCTTTCCTAAAGAGATGGGTTTTAAGGCACTTCTGAAACAGTTGAAGACTAGGGGAGAGTCTGATGGTGGTAGGGTATTCCATAGGAAAGGAGACGCCCACGAGAAGTCTTGCAAGCGTGAGTTGGCCGTACGGGTGTGAGCAGCAGACAGGAGAAGGTTGGGGCAGAGTGGAGAGACCGAGAAGGGGCATACCTATGGATCTGTGAAGAGTTATAAGAGGGGCTAGAATTGGTCAGTGTGTTATAGGAATGGGTTAGCATTTTGAATTGACTTCTATAGGATACAGGAAGCCAATGTAAGGACTGAGAGGGGTGAGGTGTGAGAGGACTGACTAGATAGGAAAATCAGTCTGGCGGCAGCATTCATTACAGACTGAAGCTGGGCAATACGGCTTTGGGAAGATCCATTAGGAGAGAGTTACAATAATCCATGCGGGAAATTACTAGAGCATGGACACGCTCTTTGGTAGCATCTTGCTTAAGAAAGGGTCAGATGCAGGCTATGTTTTTAAGATAGAATCTACAGGATTTGGCAACATATGGGATGTGAGGCTAGAATCAAGTATGACGCCAAGACAGCACGCTTGCAGGGATGGACTTATGTGGATCCCACTAACTTTAAGGGAGAGCGAAAGAGGAGGAAAGACAGACAATCAGTTCAGTTTTAGAGAAATTGAGTTTCAGAAAGCGGGAGGACATCCAGTCAGAGATGGAAGAAAGGCAAGCAGTGACACGTTGCAGGACAGCAGGGGAGAGGTCCAGGAAGGGGAGATATATCTGGATGTCATCAGCATACAGGTGGTAGTGGAATCATAATGAGGTAAAATAAGTTTGCCATGAGAGGCAGTAAAGAGAAAATTGAAGGGGACCAAGGACAGAGCCTTGAGGGTCTCCCAACAGAGAAAGGACAAGGGGAGGAGGTATCATTAGAAAAGGAGATACTGAATGGGTGTTGAAAGAGACAAACCAAGAGTCACAGAGACTAAGTGATTGAAGAGTTTGAAGAAGCAGAGCGGTCAAGAAGAATTAGTATAGAGTTGTGGCCTTTGGATTTAGCTGTGATTAGGTCGTTAGTAACTTTGATAAGAGCAGTCTCAGTAGAGTGATGAGGGCAGAAGCCAGATTGAAGAGGGTCAAAGAGAGAGTTGGAATTTAGGAAGTGAGACATACGGGTAAAGACAAGTCTTTCCACAAGCTTTGAGGAAAAAGGGAGCAGGGATGTGGGACGATAGAGGGGGAGAACGGGTCAAGGGATTTTTTTTTTTCAGGATAGGTACTACAGTGGCATGTTTAAGGTGAGCAGGGACAACTCCAGAAGAGTGAGAGCAGCTGAAGATTTGTGTTAAAGGAGGCACAAGAAAAGAGGAGAGAGACCTGATAAGGTGAGATGGGACAGGATCAAGCGGGCAAGTTATGGGTCGAGAGGAAAGGAGAAGCGCAGCCACCTCTTGTTCAGTAGCCTCAGAGAAAGTCTGAATGGTAGGAAAGGCATGACCTAGGTGTGGTTGAGAAAGAGAGGGGTAAGGTGGTGAGAATTACTTCCTTAGCTGTTCAAGCTAATGAGGGAGGAAAAGTATGACTGTTTGGCGAGGGCAAGGGCTGCGCTGTATGAACACAATATGAATCTATAATGGAGATAGCCAGCCTGGGTAAGAGACTTCCTCCAGGAGCATTCAGCACAACGGCAGCATGTTTGCAAGTAGCGTGTTGATTTAGTATGCAACGGTTGGTGGCATGTCCTCCTCGAGGTGCATGTTTGGAGCGGGGATGCAGCTTTCAAGGCAGTGTTATATGGAGATGATCAATGAGGGACAGGAGAGGGAAGGGATGGATAGCAGTTGTGAATCGAATGAATATCAAATGATGGGAAAGAGAGGGAAGGGAGACTGGGTAGAGGTATGAAGGAGCAGTGAAGTGAGAGGAGAAACCCTACACTACCACCTTTACATATAGAGGTGTCTTGGGTTGTGGGTAAGTTGAAGACCACCAAAGGATAAAGATGCAGGGGTAGCAGTGTCAGAGAGGGGAGAGCCAAGTTTCTGTTAAGGCTAGTATATCTAGGGAGCAAGAGATGAAGAGGTCGTGGACAGCAGGTGATTTTGTAATATTGCAAACAGAGCGTGCATTCCAGAGGGCAGTATTGAAGGAGGAGTTAGAGGAAGAGTAACATGAGATGGGTATGAGATTGGTGTGGTTCCTTGAGTTAGTACGTGGTGGGTTTGGAGAGACATCACCAGCTAGGAGCAGAAGGAAAGAAAGGAAGTGAAGGTGGGACTAGGATTTGAATGTTTTGTAGGAGGGTAGGTATATAGATGATTTGGGAGGAGTTAGAGGAGATAGGCTGGGAAGGTATATGTAGAGTGCATGGGATGAATAGAGAGAGGAGGGGACTAAAGTGGAAGCAAAAAAGATGGTGTTGCCAGGGACAGGGATATTTTAGTAATTCTTGAAACACTGCACAATCAGAGATATCCTAACTATGTGCCATGGGGCTGGTTTTACCCCCTGTAACTCCGGTCTTCCGAATGTCAATTCTGTGCATATTTTAATGTCTGTTCTCAGCTCACTGGCAATAGAGGTAATCTGATTCTTAACACTTCAAGCATACCTAAAGGCATGCCTGCAAGTGAAGCCCACACTCCCCTCCACATACATCAGTGATGGCTTTCCCGTGAGCCAAAAAGCCTGAAGGGAATAATTATACTCACCAGAATACAATAAGCTTTAGTTGTTCTGGTGACTATAGGGTCCCTTTAAATTAATGCATCCCTATAGGGAAAGTGCAGCACCTCCATGCAGAGCATAGAGTCAATGAACACCAATTCAAATTGCATAATTAAAATGCAGATTATATGTACACCCATAACCACTTGTACCAAAAGTTATAAAAATGTATAAAAGTTGTGCTGGGGCCACATTTAACTTTACAAAGAACTTGACAGGGTCCCTCTTGCTATGCTCTTAAACTTGCCTCACGATAAATAGGATGAGCATCTGCCTAAGCCTCCGCTCCTGGAGGAAAATAAGAAAGATGCTGTGGCAGCAAGAATGCTTTGTAATGAGACCAGTTTTATTTACATTACACTAAAAAGATGGCTGCTCCATTTTCCTTGGGGAAGGTGGGAGGAATAGTTCTATATCCTGCTCCCTTGGTATCAGCTCTTTGTAGCCAATAAGCCGCATAGCTGGGAGCTTCCTTTGTAGGTCACTGCCAAAAGCTGGAACAGACCATGCAAAACACAGCTTTCTACAGTGATTTTATCAAGCAAGTGTTTCAGAGCATGGGTTACGTTTTAAATAGTGTCATTAATAAAAGTTCAGAAAAAAAAAAAAAAATGAATTACAATGGACACTATTGTCACCAGAACCACTACAGTATAATGTAGTGCTTCTGGTGTCTCTAGCATGTCCCTGCAGGCTTTTCAATGTAAATTCTGTGAAAAGGCAGAGTTTACACTGCCGCCTTGTAACACCTCTAGGTGCAATCAGACGGCAATTCTCCACACTCTGCATAAACGTTCCCATAGAGATGCACTGATTCAATGCGTGAATGCATTGTATTGGCTGAGATCATCAAAACTGATCCTCTCAGCCACGGAGGAGAGGACAGCCACAGCAAGACCTTCAATCTCCAGAGAAGGAGGCCAGTGACCTAAGGATGTATTTCGGCATGTTTGTATTCCTAATACTATATTGTTCCTTTAAGCAACTAAAAGTTAAATTACAATTTCATGCAGCTTTAAAATGGTAACAAAATGCAAACTGCCAATACCATGGTGTTCTGCACTTTTCTAAAAACGTATTACACTTCCTTGGGTAGGGTTGACCTAATTTCTGAATTGGAGGTACTTGATAAGTGCAATATTATCTTAGCCTGCATTAGCTGTTAACATAAAGCTGACCTGTTTAGCTACAGTGTTTTCAGAGACAGTTATCTCCAAGCACAAGAAAAAAAATGTCAATGAATTTATCAACCCCCACAGCTGCTAATTAGTGTCGTATTATTGGCATGCATATAGCACCAACTTATTCTGCAATGCTTTACAATATTCAGTGGTTTAAAGCATGGGTTCATGTGCCCGATATTACAGTAATCCAGTGTGGGACACCAAGCTAGTGTTAAATGATTTTATTTAGATATTTACTTATAGAAAATTATGCATGGCACAGGAAGGGGCAAATATTTTCTAAAAATAAAATTTTTAAAAAACAATTAAAAAATTTTTTTTAGTATTTGTCCAACAAATGAAAAAAATTTTTTTTTAGTAGTTAAAGGGACACTATAGTCACCAGAACAACTCATTGTAGTTGTTCTGGTGAGTATAGTCAGTCCCAGCACGCATTTTCACACAAACAGTCTTTGAGAGAAAGGCAGCGTTTACTTTAAAGCCTAGGGACAACTCCAACAGTCACTCCTCAGATGGCTACTGGAGGTGCTTCCTGGGGCAGTGTGTGCAGCATCTGGTTGAACTTTCCTCATTGAGATGCATTAATGCACTGCACCTCTATGATGAGATGCTGATTAGCCAGGCTGGCGTTTGGCCCTGCCCCCACATGCCTCCTAGACGATCTCAGACAATCCAATGTTTTCCCTATGTGCACCTGGAGGCAGCTTGGTAGATGGAATGCATGCCTGGAAGAATGAAGCAGGCAGCTGGGTCCATCCATTACCTGGAAAACAGCATATATAGAGAGAGTGTCCATATCTGCCTGGAAAGAGGCATTGTAAAGACCTACTGGATATCGCACTCACCAAGTAACCCAGGTGCTCTGAAGCCAGAGCTGGCCAGGCCTCCCTTCCAAGCTTTATAAAAGACCTGGTAATATTGAAACATTGCTGTTTTTTTGCCCCCCAAAAAAACTGCTTTTTTTTATCCCGGAGTGCCTGAACTGTAATTTATTCTGCACATCCTGGAAAGAGGCATAGGCAGAAGGGCCAATGATTGCCCAGTATCACCAGCTGCTGGCGTGAACCTGGTCTCGGCAATAATCCCTCTCTAGGGTGGCACATCCACAACTCTGGTGGAAAGCCCTAGGGATCAGCTGACCCAGTGAAAGACGTGCCATCACAATGCCCATGCAAAATAAAGGAAAGCTGCTTTCAATCTGGTTATTAGCTGGATTGAAGCATTGGTCAAAAACGCGACAAAATGCACTCCAACAATTCCACTGAATGAAAGTCAGACAGCATCGAATAAACCACTTGCTCATGCAGCCTCCTGTATACACATACAAATACTGTAAAAAACAGGCTCTGCAAACTACACTCCATCAGTCGTATCCTTGATTACTCCCAACATTAAATGCAATCAAACATTTAGTACAAGACATTTACCAAAAAAAAAAAAAACTGGCTTCCGAAAAGGAGAACAGCCACCTTCAGTCCAGATTCACACAAATATCTGCAATGTGAGAAATTCAAGATCAGCCTCTTCCCTACAGCCTACAATTTTGCTAACATACAGGATTAAAAATTTGCTGACCAGGTGGAAACATTATCAGGCTTTATACATCAGCCATAACGAAGGTGAAAGAGGCTTCTGGGCAGAAATCAGAAGATTACATTCATATATCATGGGTACGAGTTCAGCAAATGAAAGTTTGCACTTTATGTAGGGATACCATAAACCATTGGTATTACCAAATTATAGCTTTTTTTTTTTTTTACATATCTAAAATGCATTAGCATTAATAAACCACTTGATGTAGACTAAATAGTGATATTTTGATCGTAACAAATTTCCAGTTAAAATTCGAGTCGAACAACTATTTAATCTCTATACAAAAAATGGCATCCCTATTTCAAAGATTAAAAACAAACATGAAAATCTCTTTATGTGTTTGTTGGAGAGACAATGCTGCAGTGCTTGTAACTTATAAAGATTTTTTATAGATAAGGGCATTTTGGCTGTGGAGGAGTGAAGGAGACAAATATTAGTCACAAGGGGATGCTGGGAGGTTTGTGCTCTAACAGAGCAACAATTTTTCAGGTAGAATCCTCACTACTCTATTTGTCTTGTAAAATATATATTTTTTTTCCTGTGGCACGAGATACTAGCTTGCATCTGTTTTCTCAAGAGTACAAAGAGCATCTGCTTTGGCTCGCTCTCTTATAAAAAGCTACACGCAGCGGTGGATGAAAGCTTTCGCTTCCTCTGGATTTCCACATTCAATATTGTAGTGGTAATTATCACAGCTCATGTCACAGGCACTTGCTCTCATCCCAGTTAGACCCAGAATAGTTTTTATTTAAGTATATTTACAATGCTTGGTATAGTTTGCATCACCAAAGAAACAACAACAACAACAACAACAACAACAACAACAGCAGCACACACACTCCTCCCACCTCCATACGGTGTGGAAAGACAAGACGTACATCAGAGACTACACTGCTGACACTTACTTTGTTAGCAACTAATGCTATACAAAAGTTGTGTAATCCTAACGGGAATCATTCGCTTTCTGCCACAATTGCAAAGAATTCTGGGACAGACTGTGTGAAGGCAAAATTGCTCTTTCTTTAATGTCATTCTGGTATATAATCTGTGCGGATACCATTTTCTGTGCTTGCCTGAATTTAATAACTATATTTGATCTGTCCTCAAGAACCGTTTCTGGATTCCTGACAGATGTCATGGAGATTTGGTGGAAAGTGGAATATTAAGGATGGGGTACCATTAGCGTGTTGCTGTGGCCATATGTCCAGACCAAAGAATTGCTGTTTTAAGATTTCTTCTGCTTTTTACCTTTTCTGGCTAGGAATAGATATTGTTAAATAGAAACTTCAAATACTTAACCATATATGTAGATTAGATATGGAGAAGATCGATACCCCATGTATATTGCCATAATTTTAAATTCTATATATATCACTACCCATCAGTACAGTCCCTTTCCTCCAACATTGATGTATGTTAAATAAATCTTAAATCTACCTATTTACAAAAAGAACTCAGAGTGAACTCATGTCCAGACACGACAACAGCAAAAAGGAAACTATGGCAGGTACGTGTATAAGAAGAGACATACTTAAACCACATTACACTGGGGATATTTGCCTTATTAGAAGTAGGGACAGATTACTTTTGAAGAAATACCCCAAAAAGAGTTTGCTTCTAACCAGTTTAACTTCAGCTCACCTTAACCGACTGTTGAAATTGGACATAATGCTTTAAGAGCATCATTAACTACACTACCTTTCAACTCTGCACTCTATGACTTACACAGGATACACTTACCTTCCACAAGGTTTAACTACAAGGAGTTCCCACAACTGTTCCAAACAGCTAAGAGGTATATCCAAAACCCTTAAATTTCTTTGAAGGTACTTTATCAAAAATCCAAGACTCAGATTTGAGAAGAAAGGGTTGGGGAAGGTGTATTTCAGAAGATACATTTACAATTCTTAACAAAGAATGAATTTGCTAAAAACATTTCAAAATAAACCAGAAACTCTCACAAAAAGGTCAAGACAACTGACTGAAAAGGATTGAATCTTCATCATAATGCTCGCAATATTAAATCCATAACAAATACGCAACAGACGGCAAAAAGACAGCGGGACAAAGTTCAGACTATAGATCCAAACCAATAAAAGAAAAATACAATATCTAGATGTGTGTCATTTCCTTATGACAGTGAAGTGTAACGGTTGCAAAATATATCTGGAGGTTTGCCACAAACACTCACCAGACAACCCCGAAGGCACCATAGCCAATAGGTCGATCAGGTTCAATATCCAGTTGCTGAGCATGATGAGAGTGTGGATGGTGGTGAGCCTTTACTGCAGCTGCCTGCACTTGAGCAGGGGCAACTGCTGCAGCTGGTCCTGGGGCCTGTCCAGGAGCTGGAGATGGGAAGTATGGTTGAGCCTGGCCTGGATTTAGCATAGTGGCTGCTGCTGCTGCAGCAGCCGCAGCTGCAGCAGCTGAGGAGGAAGAGGAGGCAGAGGACACATGCTGCTGGACAGGATGCACAGCAGCAGCTGAGCCTGGGTGTAAATGATGCTGGGGATGGAGATGGTGGTGATGGTGCATGTGAGGAGGGGGCAAGTGGGCCAGGTGATGGTGGTGGTGGTGATGATGGTGACCCCCAGCCGCTGCTGATGTACCCCCATTATACGCTGCCATCATTTTTGCATTGGCAGACGTGCCACAAAGAGACATTCACAGAAATGCCCTCTAATGTATGAGACAGATGTGCCAACCTGTTACTGGGCCATTAAAATGTAATATCCAGAAGAACTAAGCCTGCTTGGAAGGAGTTCTCATAATAAATCTAATCCCCTGTCCTCGTCAATAGACCAGAATGTTAGTGCCAATAAATTAACTATTTCTTTCTAACTATACAATTCTTTTCACAATTAAAATCAACCCAACCCACCCACCCCCCAGGGACCTCTGTTTTATAATAAATACTAAAACCCCATGCTGTTGGTTTTTACATTTGTCTCAAGAATACACAGACTTCTCCCTCCAACCTTCTTTTAAAAGAAACCACAGGCTACAAGATCTACAAAGTAAGGGGCAGCCTGGTCCTTCCATTCCACATTCTCCTCTAACCTGGCAGAGAGAGTCCCTGAAACCCAGGGTCAGAGGCTGCTCAACCCCCTACTAAACACACGGTCACTAAGTGGCACAGGGCAGGTGTTGATGCAGCATAGGGCTGGTAGCAGTATTTTCGGTTACTAATGGCAAAGATGGGGGGCTAGTGGCTGTGTTTGAAGAAACAAATGCCAGTGTTAGGGGGGCTTATGGCAAGGTTTGAAGTTACGGATGCCAATGTTTAGGGGGCTAATAGTAAGGTTTAAAGTTACTGATGGCAGTGCTTTGGGAGTATCTGATGTCAATAATTTTCTATGGCTGAGTCAGTGCTTTGGGTGGCAGGGTCAATGCTTTGGGTTGCTAATGTCAATATATTGGGAGTGTTTTGGTGCTATTTGGAGGAGCTGTTGTCAAAGTGTTAGGGGTGTTTTAGTAATATTTGAGGGTTCTGGTGTCAATGTTTTAGAATATTTGGAGAAGCTGATGTCAAGGTTTTGGGAATATATGGGTATTTTAATTATATTTGGAGGAGCTGATGTCAGTGCGTTGGGGGAGTTTCAGTAATATATGGGGGTTCTGGTGTCAGTGTTTTGGGGGTGATTCAGTAATATTTGGGGGTTGTGATGTCAATGTTTTGGGGGTGATTCAGTAATATTTTGGGGGTTCTGATGTCAATGTTTTGGGGGTGATTCAGTAATATTTTGGGGGGTCTGATGTCAATGTTTTGGGGGTGATTCAGTAATGTTTTGGGGGTTCTGATGTCAATGTTTTGGGGGTGATTCAGTAATATTTTGGGGGTTCTGATGTCAATGTTTTGGGAGTGATTCAGTAATATTTTGGGGGTTCTGATGTCAATGTTTTGGGAGTGATTCAGTAATATTTTGGGGGTTCTGATGTCAATGTTTTGGGGGTGATTCAGTAATATTTTGGGGGGTCTGATGTCAATGTTTTGGGGGTGATTCAGTAATGTTTTGGGGGTTCTGATGTCAATGTTTTGGGGGTGATTCAGTAATATTTTGGGGGTTCTGATGTCAATGTTTTGGGAGTGATTCAGTAATATTTTGGGGGTTCTGATGTCAATGTTTTGGGAGTGATTTTCTGATGTCAGCTAGTAGAGTCTGTGTGAATGGTTAGAGGAGGAGGAAGGGGAGGGGGCTGGAGGAGGTTTTGACAGCTGCCCAGGCCAGGCGCCCGGTGCCCAAACTGACAACAAGCAGTAAAGGGGGGTGAGCTGGGGAGAGGATGAATATTAACAGACAGAGGGGGGGAGCAGCCAGACCATGAGAGAGAGGGGTATCCTGGAGGCTCCGCTCCTCCCGGGACAGCTCCACGGCCAGCACGGGACACACACACTGGAGGTCGAGGCGAGCAATCCACCGGGTCCCCCCCGAGCCAGTCACAGACTACCAAGCCAAGCAGAGGCTGCGAGACGCGGGCAGCACAGCCACCTGACGCCGCACTTGACGGACAGCACCAACAACCAATCGCCAGCGTCAGCGTCTTAACCGACAGCCAATCAGCGTAGAGGAGAGGACTAAAGAGGAAGGTACCGCTGTGATAGCGAAACAAAAGGAGGAGCTAGATAACCAACCAATGACACATAGAAGGCGGGGTTTCAAAAGGAGATTCCCGGCGATTGACAGGGGAGATATCCAATCGGAGCATAGAAACCTGTTCCTCTGGGAACGCCTTCACTGACCTGTTGTGTAGGTGAAAAAAAAAAAAAACCGTTAACCCTTTCGCAGTAATGAGGTGCTTTACTGTTACAGAGCAAAGCGTCTATGGTTCCTCCCGGAAACGAACCAGTTAAAGGAATAGGTGATCTCTGAGCACATTCATTAGCAGAGACCTGACGCCCCTGCTGGGCGGCTCCGGTACTGCAGCCCTTATTAATTGTACCCAATAGTCAATACAGGTCACTGTGTTGGCCATTTAAAGGGAACTGTCACTATTATGGAAATTATAACAAGGCACGCCACACGGCAAAACAACTATAAATGCTGTTTACCCTTGTTTATTCCTGTACGTCCAGTTGTCTGGTTACAATTACATGTCAGCTGGTCCACCCATTGTACAGCGCTACGGAATCTGATGGCGCTATATAAATAATGAAATAATAATAATGTGATGCTTTTTTATTTGTCAATGTGATATTATGTGTTGTATTTTAAATGAACATTAATTATTTAGTGATATCAGTATCCAGTTGAGTCAGGGCACGCATTGCATTGGAGGAGCTAATAAATTTTTTTTCTATTTCTGCTCCCTATTGTGAGTGAGTGAGGGTTTCAAAGGGACGGATAGCGGTGAATACAGAGGTGTAGGTTTCTATATTTAATTTTAATGTTTAACCCCTTAAGGACACATGGCATGTGTGACATGTCACGATTCCCTTTTATTCCAGAAGTTTGGTCCTTAAGGGGTTAAACCTTATAAATACACGTCTTACATACGTAAACATCTTTTTAAATATTCTGGTAAATTACGGTCCCAGTTTATGACTTTTGGGGCCAGAGATATGCCCAGACCTAAAGAATTTAAACCATCGTGAAAGTTAGGTGAGTACTTTGTTACAGAGTAATACATGCCCGAATTCAGATGTTGGAAGCTGTGGAATCTCTTCTACTCAAAACATAATGGTGCTGCACTGATGTCACTTTTGAGATTATGATATCATTCAGCCTTTGTTATTGTTATCCTTTGATTACCACTAAGAGCATCATAACTACTACAACTCCCTGTGGTGGTTACGATGCCAGGATTTGCCAGAACAATCTGTCATACTATTTTTTGTTGGACACTTACCTGGGTCTGGACACCTGCCCTTGTTTTGTTTTTTTAGCAAGAGGAGCTGGATGTCGACGTAGGCATTTGTTTATTGGTGGAGAGTGTCAGCTGAGCACTCTCAGCCACTTTATGTGTACTGGTTTAAAAAAATAAATAAATTACTTTTCCATCCCGAGAAGACTTGAAACAGACCTGGCTCCGTGCCGGATCCAGGTAAGCGTCACATTCAAAACAGTCTAAAACATTACACTGAGAGGACGCCAGGTCACTTCTGGCACAAAAGGTGCCTTTCTTCCATCTCTGACTGGATGTCCTCCCGCTTTCTGAAACTCAATCTCTCTAAAACTGAGCTGCTTATCTTTCCTCCTGTTTCGCTCTCCCTTCAAGTTAGTGGTATCCACATCAGTCCATTCTTGCAAGTGTGCTGTCTTGGCGTCATACTTGATTTTGGCCTTACCTTTGAGCCTCACATCCAGTATGTTACCAAATCCTGTAGATTCCATCTTAAAAACATAGCCTGCATCCACCCCTTTCTTACACAAGATGCTACCAAAGAGCTTGTCCATGCTCTAGTAATTTCCTGCATGGATTATTGTAACCCTCTCCTAATTGGTCTTTCCTAAACCGTATTGCCCCGCTACAGTCTGTAATGAATGCTGCCGCCAGACTGATTTTCCTCTCCTGTCGCTCCTCTCACACCTCTCCCCTCTGTCAGTCCTTACATTAGCTTCCTGTATCCTATAGAAGTCAATTCAATGTGCTAATCCATACCTATAAAGCACTGACCAATTCTAGCCCCAATTCTAGATCCATACGTATGCCCCTTCTCGGTCTCTCCACTCTGCCATGACCTTCTCCTGTCCGCTGCTCACACCCGTATGGCCAAGTCACGCTTGCAGGACTTCTCGTGGGCGGCTCCCTTCCCATGGAATAGCCTGCCTATCGCCATCAGACTCTCCCCTAGTCTTCA